CGTCAGACAGGATGGACTGACGCATACTACATGTCCTACGTGGACTCTCCACAAAATCCACAGACCTTACGTTGCATTGACTTAATCCTTTATCCGGGACTGACCGCCCGGCAGATCCTCTCTTCACCATTCTCCCCGACTCTCTCCCACCTATTCTTACAGATTTGACGTGGGGACGATTGGATGAGCTGAGCGGCAAAACCCTTGAACCCTACTAAACCCTGAACTCCCCGGGCTGACCAACACAATCGCTGAAGACATTGGAGGTGCAGGCCGGGACGATGTGTGAATGGCTCCGCAAGTACATTAAAAGAGAGCCGCCACCAAGGTCAGTCAGCGCACATACCTAGTGTTCACTGCATGACCAAGTGGATGGGGTATATACGATGGATGGATGCAGTTCTCAGGTTCGGTTCCGCTGTGCCTTTCGTAACACCATTTATGACGCACTCAAGGCCCGAGGATGGAAGGAAACCGACAGGTGGACTGACAAACGCAGAGAGAAAGACAATGAGGGGCAGCCCTCATTCGGCAGCTCTGCATGCCCTTGTTGCGTGTCTGTCTGAGTGAACGCATGCAGTGATTTGGATTGGGACCTTCACTGGTGCGACAAGGAGTGGATCCACGACGAGTTCGACCACATCCACCTGCAGCCCCACCAGCGGGTCAACCACTTCAGGAACCACTATGAGCTCACACGCAAGGACTTGTTGGTCAAGAACATGAAGAGGGCAAAGAGACAGCTCGAGAAGGAAAGCAGAACAGACGAGGCACAATCGTAAGAAGCATATATGGGGGGAGCTACAAAAGTCTTTTCTTGCATTTTTCTGCTGTATATGACTGACTGTCTGTCTGTCTGTCTGTGTGTCTGTGCAGGTACAATGTGTATCCGACCACCTATGTGCTGCCCATGGTTGGTGCGTGAGCAGGCAGAGGAGCAGGCTGTGGCTTCCCTTGTGCATCACTGGACGTTCTGTATGCAGGAGTATTCGATGTTTGTCGAAGAGTTCAAGAAGCACCACAATGCGCTGTGGATCATGAAGCCCGTTGGCAAATCGCAGGGCAAGGGCATCTTCCTATTTGACAAACTCTCGCAAATCAAGTCAGGATGTGTCAGGCACAGACACACCCATCGCCAGCCGCAAAAGGACATTCTTCTTGTTTGTGCGTCTCCGTGTGCGTTGCAGTGATTGGAAGACAGTGCCGAGTTTCAGGCAGCCGGAAGGCCAGACACAACAGGTAGGTAACAAGACCTCGATGGGCTAACCATGTCTCTCTCTCATCCTTGGCCAGACGGCCGAGGCGTATGTCGTGCAGAAGTATGTGGAGAACCCTCTCTTGATTGGAGGTAGGTCACCCATGCCAGTCAGCATCACAGTCACCCACCCGCGCAGACATGCAACGGCTCCTGCGTTGTCAGGCAAGAAGTTTGATCTCCGGCTGTATGCCCTGGTGACCTCGTACTCTCCTCTGGTAAGATACATCACACACACCATGGCGATGTCTCGTTCAGGAGAGTGCTTGTCCCATTCCTGTCTCTCCTTGTTTATTTCCCCGCGTAGACGGTGTATTTCTACCGCAGCGGCTTTGCGCGTTTCTCGCATACTCACTTCAGCTTCGACAACGAAAACCTCACTGACATCGGTACACTCGATGACGATCAAATCCCCTCTCCATCCTCACTTGCCTATATCCCTGTTCCTTCATCTGTCTGTCTGTCTGTCTGTAGGTATGCATTTGACGAATGTTGCGGTTCAGAAGCAGAGCGAGAAGTACGACGAGAAGAGCGGGGGCAAGTGGGACGTGCGGCGGATGAAGATGTACCTCATGTCCAAGTACGGCGAGGACAAAGTCAACCAACTCACGACGGCAATCGAAAACATCATTATCAAATCACTGCTCTCCGTCCAAAAGGTACGTGTCCGGGGAAGACACCACAGCAATGTGCACGTCTGTCTTAATCTGTGTGTGTGTGTTTTTCAGTCGATGATCAACGACAAGCATTGTTTTGAGCTCTATGGGTACGACATCCTCATCGACTCAAATCTCAAGTGAGCCAGTGCGTACACGTACATGGAAGTCTGCATGGCATCACGCTCGCGTCATGCTGTCCATGCATGGCTGGCTGCAGGCCATGGCTGCTGGAGGTGAACGCGTCTCCGTCTCTGACGGCCAACACCAAGGACGACTACGACCTCAAGTGCGGCATGCTCGACGATGTGCTCACCATCGTTGATGTCGAGAAATAGTCAGTGAAACAAACAGACAGACAGACAGACAGACAGAGAGGGATGAGAAGAGGGAGGGAAGGGATTGATCGACCATGATGCCATCGCCTTGCTGTGTTGTCTGTGTGTATTGCAGCTTGACGGGCAATGAGCTCCAAGTGGGAGGGTTTGACCTCATATACAAGGGTGGCTGCGCGGCACTAACGAGACACGGCAGTACACACATCGATCTATCAGCGCCTTGCCTTTTCCTTCAGGTGGCCCAGTCTCCAACCACCCACAAAATGCTATTTTTCGATCGTACCTGGGTACGCACGCACATCAATCGCGGAGCACAGCGGGGAGCAGAGTGCATGATTGTGTGCTTCGCCAAACATTGCCTGAATGCATGTGCAGGCAGCATGAACGACCGGCAGCAGCAGCTGAAGAAGCTGGCGAAGCTCCTCGCTATGAGGGCACAGGCCTCGCCAGAGGCAGCCACAACAGCGACGACCAGCTCATCAGCACCCGGCAGCTCCTCAGGTATGCCGTCACGAATCCATGAGTGTGCCCTCCCTCCTGTGTGCGTGTCTTGATGTGTGCAGGAGCGACGAGTCAGCGTCGCGTGGCCGCTCGCCGTGCGGTGCGTGAGGACTCGCGTGACGCAGCCTCCAACGCTGCACAACCCGCAGCATCCAAGACATGAGCCAAGCTGGCGCATGTCGGAGACGCCATGCCAAACAGAACGATTCCTGGAAAGGATCTGTCAATTGGCGGGCGGGAGCGCCGCGAGGCCCCATCTTTTTCCTTTTGCCTCGCAGGCAGCTGTTTGCTCTTTGTTGCTGCTGCAGTTGTGCTGTTTGCTGGGCATTGCATGGATGTGTATATATGCACCCAGTGGGGGAGGCTCGCCTCGGGTGCTGGCCTTTGACGATCTGCCGAAGAAGCTGCCCTCGCTTGCATTGCACTGGATCTACTTCTCCTTTGTGTGGATTCATGAGTTCCCATTCCCCTTCCTGCGAGCTTGTAGTTCTCCGATCGCTTGAGTGAGGTGTCCCGGCAGCTGGTGGGAATGATGGGTGATATGCATAGGTGCCGGCAATGAAGTCCCCAGAAGATGCCTACTATCCCATGCGTTCTCCCATCCTAGGCCTGAGGTCATCTGCAACCACCGCCAGCACAAGCACAGCGTCAGACCACCTACCCACCTCAGATGCACCCACTGGCGCTCACGGACACACGAGAGATCCGAGAGATGAGCACCGGCATCATCACCACCCACGGCATCACAGACGGAGGCCCTGTGGCGGCTGCGGCTGTCGATGCGGTAAGTGGTGGTGGATTGGCGGCACGCTGGGCGTCCTAGCTGTCGCCGCCACATCGGTTTTGCTTGCGGTCTTGTTATGGAGAAGACGGATAGTCAATATCGAGCTCAGGGGACCTGCCGACTTCACCAGCTGGTCAGTCAGACAACACAGAGCCAGACCAGAAAGAGGCCTCAGGCCAGTCATATATCATGCATGTGCCAATCAATGACTGACGTGATCCGCGCCCTTCGTGTGCTGTGTGTGTGCAGGTATCGTTACTATGCGCATGATCCGCACAGGGCCCTGCAGAGCACTTTCACCGAGTCGGCCGTCAAGCTGTTGCGGCGGCGGGCGGAGGAGCTGCGGTCCGTGTCGGCCACCAACAGCACTTTCTGGGCCATACGAAGGGACGTCATCCGCCAGCAGCTTCGCGATGAGATATTCTACCCCCTCGAGTACTTCCCCACTCTCGAGCTCAAGGCCAGCGCCACTTCCCGAACGACCCACGTCAGGCACACGGACGTCGGAAAGATCACCTTCGACGTCGAGACCATCGTGTACCAGACACTGCCCAACATGCACGTCACGGGGGCGCTCCTCATCCCCGCCAAGTGCACCCCGGCCAACCCCTGTCCTGCTGTCATCTACGCGTCGGGCCACGTCATCCCGTCCTTCCGCGAGTCCCATTTACAAGAGGTGCTGCTCAACCTGGTCGCCAGAAACATCATCGTCTTCGCCTTCGACCCACCAGGACAGGTAGGTCAGGTGGAGGAAACTCTCACAGACAGCCTCATGATGGATCTTTGCTCCCTCCCTGTCTGTCACTCTGTCGGCTCCATGCCATCCATGTAGGGTGAGCGGCTACAGTACTTCAACCCCGCCACCCACACAAGCGACGCAGGCACCGGCAGCTACAACGCAGACGACGCCTCCGCCGGCACATGCAACGCACGGGGGGGCTCCCCCACACGAGAACACAACTATCTGGGCCCGCCGCTGTTCCTCCTGGGCCTCTCGCCGCTGTCCGTGTGGGTGTGGGAGGGCACACGGGCGGTCGACTTTCTGCTGGAGAGGCGCGAGGTGGACAGGAAGCGGATCGGCATGGCGGGGTGCAGCGGGGGCGGCACACAGACGGCCTACGTGGCGGCCATCGATGACCGAATCAAGGCGGCCTCGATTGCCAACTACGTAAGGACTGCACACGTCGCGCACGTCACCGCTGGACAAACGTCATCTTTTCCTTTGTTTCCCTCTGTTGGTTGTGTTGGTCAGATGAGCACGTTTGAGGTAGATTTGTCATGGCAGGGGTCATCCGACAGCGAGCAGCAGTGGATGCGTGGCGCCGCCATAGGTCTCGACAAGCCCGACCTGCTGGTGGCCCGCGCCCCCCTGCCCACACAGGTCCTCATGTCATCCAACGACCAAGACTTCCCAATGGAGGGCGGCATGCAGGCCCTACGCGACGCACTCCCGGCCTTCCTCTCCCTCACCAACCACTCCATCGACATCCCTTTGCCCCCATCCTTCCCCCTCACCGCAGCGACGGCACTGGCGCCCCACGGCTACTCAAAGAACACCAAGGAGCACCTCTATGGCTTCTTCATGTACCATTTCGGCATGCTCGACAGCGACCAGCTGGTCACGCGCGAGTCGGTCTTTGCGGGGGACCTTCCCTATGCCGCCGACAAGCACAGTGGCGGCTGCAGCAGCAGCAGCAGCAGCGGAGGCGGCAAGGGTGAGGCTGCTGTGTCGCCCATTGATTCCGACGAGTCGGGTGTGTCGTCGTTTGGGTGGGAGTGGGATCGTCGGCTGCAGTGGGTGGAGGGGATGGAGCTGCCGGTGCCCAGCGGATATGTCGTCAACGATATGGACATACGGCCGCTGCCTTGCAGATCGCTCAAGGTCACCAGGACAGGTACAAAGGCACACGTGACGTGACTGACGTGCATCATGAGCGCACTGATGGATGGATCTGGGTATCCGTGCGTGTGTGTGTGTGTGTGTGTGAATGTGTGTATCTACGCAGGTCAGGTGTTCTCGTCGTATCGTGACGAGTGGGGTCTGGCGCAGTGGATCCATGAGATATCGGCTGCGCGGAGGCACGACCTCGATCGCATCAGATATGGAAAGAAACGATGGGAGCGGTCGCTGGTCGAGTGGCTCAAGAGCGTCCGCCAGTCCGTCGCCAAGGTCGCCGGTATCGGCCCCGCAGCCTCCACTCGCACCTTCGATCCCCTTCCCCTGGGGGAGTACACCCGCACAGCCCCCCTCCCGTCGCCACTCGCACACCGAGGCTCGCGTGCTGAAGCGAAGCACGCCTCACCCCAGAATCAGCATCACGGGCAAGAGAGGATGGCGGCCAGAAGGGATTTGCAGGGTTTACGCCGATCGTCCTGGTCCACCTTCTCCCTCTCGCCGCCCCTGCGTCAGTTTTTGGGCACGGTGAGGTGGGGGCCAGAGCACCTGATGGAGAGGTGGGTGATCCCCACGGCCGGCAAGGGAGTCGTCGACATCCTCTTGTGGCTGCCGCATTACAACATGCCGACGGGCTATCGTGGCGGCAGCCGGCGTGTGGGCGTGGGCATGAAGGTCGACCTGGTGGTCATGATCGACGCTTGGGAGTGGCAGTATGACACCTACCATCGGCCGACGGGTGTCAAATCTGCCAGCCATGACGTACATGACGTTCTGGAGTCCAGCCAGGCCCTCAACTACCCCTCGTCCATCCCCACCAACAGCACCACACGCCCCATCGGTGTGGCCATCGTCAGCCTCACAGGCTTCGGCGTCACCGCCACCAGCCCCCCCGCCTCTAATGTCCCCCCAGGTGCGTCAGACGCCATTCCCCGGCTGGCGGGCTTCTCCAATGTGGGCTTCCACGCGTGGGAGATCCAGCAGGTGATCGCCTCTTTCACCGACGACGATGTGCGTGTGCGTTCAATTGCGGGCATTGTGGCTGGCGGCGGGCTGAGCAGCGCCTTGCTCCATGCCGTGGCGGACATGGCGAATGTCCGTGTGGGTGCTGGCGAGGGTGAGGGTGTGTCTGTGGGTGCGAAGATCAGTCTGGTGCTGGTGGACGAGATCCCCTCCTACGCCCTCATCGCGGAGACCAGGCTCTACGAAATGCCACCATACATGGTAGGCAGGCACCCCGAGACATGGAATGTGTGTCCGCCAATGGACGGACGATTGATTCATATATCGCCTCTCCCATGATCTGACTGACTCATCTGTCTGATCTGCAGGAGATCTCTCGTGTGCTGGTGCACTACGACCTGGTCGATGTGCTGGCGAGCCTCTTCCCCTTCGGCGGCAGGGCACTCATCGTCGATGCGCGAGCACCCATCCGGCGGCAAGACATTGAGAACTACGCCTCCTCGTGCCTCAACGGCCCCCAGGTGGCGCGCGAGTACGGCTTCCCCATCGACGCACTCCACCAGTTCCAGGCGACCTCGCGGGCGCGGCTGGACATCTGGCGGGACCTGTGTGACGGGAGGGATGTTGCCGACGAGAGCAAGTCGATGTGGGGCAGGCGAGGCAAGGTGGAGCGGCAGAGGAAGAAGGAGCGGACTGACAATGTTATCCGGTGGATCTGGGGACAGATCATGCCAATCTGACTGAGGGCGACAGACAGACAGACAGACAGACGGCCAGGCGCACAAGGTATGGTATGTGGGATGGATGGGACGGGGGAAGGCAGCTGTTTGTTTGTTTGGTAAGTGGGTTTGGTCGCTGGGCGCGGCGCGCGTCTGTGTGTGTTTGGTGCATTTGTCTCGGTTTGGTTGGTGTGTGTGGGACGATACCATACCCTGTGTGTTGGTGGCGTGGGGCAGTCAGCCAGCCGTTGTGTGAGTGTGTGTTGTGTTGCGGGGGGGCGGCGTCACGTCATTTTATGCCGCTGTGCCGTGGAAGAAGAATGAGAGATGCTGTCTGAAATGTGCTGCTGAGCACATTATCGGCCGACCAGCCAAGGTGACAATGACCTTGCGGGTGACGCGGCGGATGTGCAATCAATGGCTTTTGATGCGATGCGATGCGAGGCGATGTGGTGCGATGCGACGACGAGGCCGCACATATAGATTAGGTAGATCCATTTCATGCATTCAGTAAACAGTGAGAGATGGATGGAGGGATGGATGAAGGGATGGATGGAGGGATTGGCAATCCTTTATGGTCATCCATCAACGGGCCGGGGAGAGAGGAGGGAGCCAGGGGAGGGGAGGGAGGGTGAGGGGCGAGGGAGGGATGGCTTCATACCCCATGAATGGATGACACACATAACACACATAGCATAGCATCATGTATGTATGACACTTTTTCGGTCACACTCGATCGGATCGCGTGTTGTTTGTTGCAACGACGTACATCAGATCACATGACATGGATGGCTAGCATGGATTGTTGGCAATGATGGATGGATGCCTCCACAATGGATGGATGTTGGTGTCCCCATGTATGTGGCGGTTTGGTGTGGTGTGGTGTGGTGTGTGCACGTGTGTGTGCGTGTGAGCGCTGTTGTGTGCTACATGTGATTTGTGGCGGATGGACAATGACGTGCGTGTCCGGCCGGTTGGCTCACTGACATTTACGTCGAATCTTTTGGCTGGCTGGCTGCGGCTACCTGGATAGACGGAATCTGATGCCTCCTTCTGCCTCCCTCTACCATGCCACGTCAGTCACGCAATCATGCATATGACGCACACACACACAGACACAGCCATCTCATTCATTCGCCTGTCGCTATCTCGTCAGTCCGAGAACCAATTGTGCGTGCGGTCAGTCTGTAGGATAAAGACACACGCCAGTTGCAAACACCTACTAGCTATACACCCACCCACCCGAGAGGCACGCCGAGTGACACAAGAGACAGACAGCCCCACACGTCACGTCATAAAGAAAAACAGCTGTCAGTCGCCGATGGACCAAAAGGTCCGGTCCTTCTTCCGAGGTTTCTGCACCGCATCACCCAACGACCAATGGCCCAACGACAGCAGCATCGCATAACAACATCCATCAGTGCACTGATGCCCTGACGATACTCCGAACACTCACCTTTCTGCTTGGTTTCCCGCTGGATTTCTTCCGTTCCGCCAGAAGCGTGTTGACGTAGCATGCGTATCCCGCCACGGCAAGCATGAACAATCCCACTACCACGAGAATGACGTACACTGAAACACACAGTCATCATCATAGCAGCTTATGCACAGGTGTCAGCCTGCCTTTCTGCTGTCCTCACCTGGCTCCATCTGCAGAGATCTCTCCTGTGACCTCAAGGGAGAGATTTCACCCTATCACGATGTGCGAGCTAGCCACAAAACTCAGGGACGAAGTGAAGGCGGAAATCCCTCTAGTTTTCTGCTCAGGCAGCGACGCTGATCGAGATCTGGGGTTTCCAGGCGCGTGTCCGGCACTTGGTGCCTTCCCTTCTGAAGATGAAGCTGCACTCGGCAGCCATCGTCTTGCTGATATGGCTTGACAGCGGCCTGGCTATTCATTATCGGCGGCAGCTCAGGAGAGATCCCTCGTTCGCACCGCCAGTGAGCCTCCACAGACAACCATTCCGCCCGCCGCATGCCGCTGCGTCAGTGCTGCGTCTGTCAGCCACTCGCAGCGAAAGCCTCAGCTTCATCGAGTCCCCCAGTGGCGGCGGCGACAGCGAGCTGGCGCGTATCCTGGACAGCCTGCCCGAGGCGGACAAGTACAACACCCTGGCCCAGGGGCTGTTCCGGCGAGTGCTCAACGACAAGTCGCCCGACGCGCGTCAGTCCTCTCTGCAGGAGGGGTGGACCCTGCTCGACGAGATGAGGCAGAAGGCCCTCAAGGCCACCCCGAGGACCTTTTCACTGCTGGTAGACGCGGCAGCCGTCACGAATGACGCGGAGGCGATGAAGCGGTCGCTCGAGCTGGCGACGGGAAGCGGGCTGTCGGTGGTGTATGGGCAGGCTGACAAGGGGTGGGAGGGGTCGCCCGTCGACGCAGGGAGGCTGGCGAGTGTGACGGAGAGCTTGACTGACATGCCTGAGGACAGCCGCTCGAAGGATGTGGTGGTGGCGAGCGCATTCATGGGATACGTCGGCACCGGGGTGGGGGCTGAAACGGTACGCAAACCATCCAAAGAGGCAGACACGGGACGGGCGGGCTGCGGCCATGCTTCCTTCACTGCCTTTGTGTGTCAGTTGGGTGACTACATCTATGGCGATTTCGATGAGATCTACCCCACCGTTGCCCTACTGGCCCTCGCGGCAGCCGGCGTATATGACATCGTCAAGGGTACACACGCACACACACACACAGCCAGCAATGAAATGGGGTGCCACACGGGCTTGGCGTCTGTGTGGCATGGCTCTTTATGTGTGTGCAGGTGGTGGTGTGGTCTCCAAGAGTGTTGTAGCAGGTCTGAAGCGTCTGTTGGTGGACGACAAGGAGCGGCAGTGCCGCGTGGAGAGCGCCGCCTTCCTCGTGGCCTACCTCTTGGGCCTCCCGTGCTTCTGCTTCAGACCCAACGTCCTCGAGGCGCTCAAGATGGCAGAGGACCCACGAATAAGGATGGACCTCCTTACACCTGCCGGCATCGACAAACTGGTACACACACACACACACACACACACACAGACAGACAGACTGGCGCACTGGCCACACACACGCGCAGAAGTAAGGGGCTATGGTATGGTGGTGTGTGAGTGCAGTTGGTGTGGCTGTTGGCTGGTGTGGCGGCTGAGAACCTCCAGCATCCCGAGTGCATAGTGGCCGACCCCCGGCAGTCCGATGCGTTTGTCAAGCTCATGCGCGACAAGGACTACTTGAAAGGTCACAGACAGACAGACAGACAGACAGACAGACAGAAATAAAGCAGACACACGCGCAGCGCATACACGACAGACACTTTTTTCCTAGGGCGTGTCTTATTGATTGCTGGATCGGATCAGGTGTTGATGACGAGACGGCCTCTTTGCGCGTCAAGTGGGCCTTCCACAAGGCCACCAACCTCCTCAGGAAACACCGACGGTCGCTCAACCAAACAACCAACCAGCCAACCAACCAGCCAGCCAGCCATCGACCCTGTGTGCTGCATGCCCAAATTCCCTCTCTCTCTTTCTCTCTCTTTCTCTCTCTGTGTGTCTCTCTCTGTGTGTGTGTGTGCAGGGTTCACGATGAGTTGCGTCGGAGGATGGAGAGCAAGGCGGCCACAGTGGGGGACTGTGTCACATTCCTTGAGAAGGAAATGGCGCCGAGGAAGATACTATAGCTAGCTACCGGCCCAAGACAGAGAGGCAAAAGGACAGAGGGCGATGGTGTGATGTAGAAAATAAGGAACCCCATTTAGTCTCCTCCTTGTGCTGCCTTGCGTGGGATGGATGTGTTGTGTTTCCCTCCCTCCCTCCGTTTCTTTCATTCCCAATTTTTCCCGCTCAGCTCAGCTCACCACCACCTACCTACCTTGATTGCAATGAATGCATTGCCGTCCATCGGCCGATATATGCGATGGACGAAGGCCTGCCGTGTGTTGTGTGTACAGAGAGAGGGCTTGGCTTGCAAGAGCCTTTGGATGGGTGTGGATGGGTATGAGTGCGTCTCTGTGTGTGTCTGTTGATTGACATAGCGATGGATAGTCAGTGGGTGGGTGTGACATGCGTCCACTTAGACAGTGAGAGTGAGGGGGAAGCGTGCACTTTTGAGCAATCAGTGAGTGAGTGAGTCGTGACCTTGGCGTGTTGGTGTGTTTGGTGTCTCGTGTCCATGCTCTATCGGCTTCGACCATTGCGTGTGACCACGTGACGGTCGACACAGATGGAGTTGAGGCACAAGGCGCCGACAGACAGCACAGCACAGAGGCGACAGGTACGACATCGGACTGCCATTGCGTATGTTCGTTCAACGTGTTGTCTATCAATCGACGAGTCCGCCCAGCCCACATACATGGGTCTGTCTGTCTGTGTAGACAATCGCTCGGACGAGTCTCCCCACCAACTCCCTCCATCTCTCCCCGACCCCATTCCACTCACTCAGTCGCTCACTCACTCACTCAGCCATCAGGCCTTCCCTGCCTATAGAGTGCAAAAAGAAAAACTCCGGGTGGGCATGAGAACAAGCAGTCAAGGCTTGGGGATGGATGGATGGCAGGGCAACCTCACTTCTTCCACGGACGCTCATTCTGTCTCTCTCTTGGATCTGTCCACACGTGCACAGGCACACACACATACACAGACGAATGCTCGCAGCACTGCGTGTGTGGATGAGGCCGGCTCTTGAACGACCCCAAATGCAGTGGCTGGCTCAGTGAATTGCCTGATCCAACCAAACCGCTCAAGGACCAGTCTGAGCCTCACCCACCCACTCACGAGACGACCATTATGCTAATCTTCCGTCCATCCATCCATGCATTCATCGATCCATCGCGACAGGTGCAGCTGGCACCAAAAATACCCTCAGGCGCAGTGTCAGCTACACTTACCCATCCGGCCATCCAGCCATTCAGCTATATATTTATTTCCCAATTCAGCCAGCCGCCCCGCCCGCTGTGGTGAAAAACAAACAGCACATCACACACACCACTCAGCTCTCTCCCCCTTTACGCACACATGTGCTGTGTGTATGAATGTAGGTATGCTGTGTGCAGGCGGCGCGGCCAGTCGATCAATGAATCAGTGTTCCCCCTCCCTCCCTCCCTCCTCCCTCCCTCCAGTCTGTCTGTATATGGGTAGCTCCTGGGTGGTTGTGCGCGTAGGGACGCCTGGATTGGATTGGGTGGGGAAGAAGAGCGAGGGAGTGTGTGCCTCTCTCTCTTCTTTCGCCTCTCTCATGCCATGCCCGTACACGCGGACACAGAACCGCCACGCTCCCACACGATAGTGTAGTGTACATGCACACACACACGCAACCAACACATGCCTGCCTGCCTGCCTGCCTGCCACCGCAATTAATGCGGTCGGAAAAATGCCAACAAATAGACATGTCCATCCATCCATCCATCCATGTGAATGCGGGCAGACAACAGCAGCAGCAGCACATCCCTCCTAGACGCGTGTGCAATGCAAGTGGCAGCCACACACCACACAGGCATCGCCACCTCGCCCATGTCTGTCTGTTAGATTTTCCGCACATCCAATCCACCATCCACCATCCACACAAAAAACTTCTGGTATACAACGCAATACAACGCAACGCAACGCAACTCAGCGACTCAGTAGAGTCTCTCAGCCAGGCAGCCAGACAGCCAGACAGTACACACAGAAAACACCATCAGCCATCCGCGGTGCTCTCCCCTCTCCTCCACTCCTCTCCTCTCCTCTCCCCTCCTCTCCTCGCCTCTCAACACATAACATCAATCTCTCTCTCTCTCACCCACCCCTCAACCCTCGCACTAACTCTCTACTTGGTCGTGTGTGTGTGTGTGTGTCAGCCACTCACTCAGTATCGGTAGACCTTGTGGCCGGACATGTCATACTCGGGCGTCTTGACGGCCACGGGCGGCGGCAGGGGGCCAGTGTGGGTGGGCGATGCCGGAGGGCTCACGGCGTCGCTCGTGTGCTGGATCTCCTCAGACATGGACCGGCCGCGGGCACGGATGTGCTCGAAGGTAATGCCGCCCACAGGTTTGCCGTGGGCGTCGTGGAGGCCCGGCTGCGGCAGATGCACGCCACCGCTGCACCCGGCAGGCTGCTCCTTCTCAGGCGGCACCTCGGGGTTGAACACAGGCTGCTGACACACACACACAGAGAGACCAGGTCAAGACAACAGACGATATCCTTTGGTGACTGACTGACTGACCTTCTCAGGCTCGGCAGCAGGCTTCTGTGCGCCGGGCTCGGTGAGCGTCTTGGGTGTGAATAGTTTCTTCCAGACCATGTCCTTGATGGACCGGTAAGCGCCCCAGAGTGGCGGCTCGGGGATGCCGTTGGGCACCACGCTGGCAGGCGGGGGCTTGGGCAGGCTCTCCTGACTCGAGGTCGAGGCGTCCGACCCAGAGCGGCCCATCTTGCTGGCGTCGAGCTCCTTGGCCGCCTTGTTGGCCTCCTGGGCCTCCCGGTTGTCCTTTATCAACATCTGCAGGCTGAAGTCCGTCATGGCTGATCTATCTGACCACACACACGAGGACACACACCGAGAGGCAAAGATGCTGGTCAGCAATCGGCACGTGAGATGGAGGCAATGTCACGGTGCATCTCCGTGCCACCTTCCCTTCCCTAGCCTGGTGTCCCATGACTCACTTGTGACGACTAGCGACGATTGTCGACTGAGAACTACTGGCGATGGGGACTCACGGGTATCAGAACCACAACGAGAAAGGGGATGTGCTTTCACTTCTCCCGCCAAATGCGAGCTCAGATTTGACCCAATTCCGCTGGGACACTTCGCGACACACGTCGCTGCTTGAAGCTGTCTGCCTCCCAGCTAGCGTGACTTGGACAACGACCCGCTTTCGAGCACTGTTTGATGAATCCGTCGCCTGACTGAAGCAGCTGGCGACCTATCGCTATTGCGACGTTTGTAGACGTTTGTGAGTGACTGAGAGAAGATGCTGACCAACAGGAGCCTCCAAACTCTGGCGTCGGCCCCCCTGCGGCTGCCCGCCGGCTCCCTCGCCCTCGCTCTGCCTCCTCTGCGCGCCATCTCAACAGCTACCGTCGCCGCCAAGGCACATGACCGCACGCACCAGCAGAGTGTGGCCGCGTCGGCCGCCCGGCGGACGCCGCTGTTTGTGAGCAACAGCCGGGTGCTGGGGAAGGGGCTGTTCTTCCACCGGCCCCCTCTGGTGACGGCCACATCCACCCTGCCATCGTACGCACCATGGACCCTCACCTGGCGCCTCCCGTACGCTGCTGTTGCGGCCGCACAGACACAGCCCAAGCAGCAGGAGATCCACGGTAGGTATGCACCGAGGGAGGGAGGGAGATGCAGACAGACACGGGCGATGGTACGTGTGTGTGTTGGTTGGATGGGTGGATGGATGGATGTGTGTGTGTGTGTGTATAGTCGATGTGGGCGAGGTGGCGCGGCTTCGCGACGAGTGTCGTGCGGTGAACCCCGAGTGCGGTTACAAGCCGCCGCTGGCCTTCGACCCCACCAAGTGTCTCGAGTGCTGGGCGTGCGAGAAGGCCTGTCCTGTGGGCGACAAGTTCCTCTTCAACCAGTCGACGTGCCTCCTCTGCGGCAAGTGCGCTCAGGTCTGCCCCACTGGCGCCATCTCCTCACCACCCATGCCCATACGGGTGAGTGAGACGACGGACGGAGGGAGGGAGAGCGAAAGGTGTCTGTCACGTGACGCCTGTCTGACCATGTGTGTGTGTGGGCGTCCATTCATTGGTCAGGAAACGTTGAGCAAGCTCAAGGAGGAGGGCAAGGTGACCATCGCCCAGGTGGCGCCGGCCATACGGTCCGTTCTCACAGAGGAACAGGTGAATGAAGGAATGAGGGAGAGAGCGAGTGACCACCCACACTCCACACACCACCCACTCACTCTCCGTGTGTCTATATATTCCACCCATGAATGCGTGTGTGGATCCATCAGATCTGTTACGGTCTGCACGACTTGGGGTTCGATATGGTGTTCGACACCAATATGGCAGCGGACATCTGCATCATGGAGGAGGCCGCCGAGCTGGTCACGCGCATCACAGCCCCCTCGCAGGAGTCGCCCCTGCCCATGTTCACCTCCTGCTGCCCCGCCTGGATCAACATGGTCGAGAAACACTACCCCCACCTTATCCCTCATCTGTCCACCTGCAAGTCGCCCCAGGCCATGCTCGGTGCACTCGGTAGGTGGGGGAGTGGGGTGGCTTTGGGTGCGTGGGGTTGCTCTCCCTCTCTCTCTATCTGTGTGTGATGTGTGTGTGTGCAGTGAAGCATCACTGGGCTTCGCAGAAGGGTGTGTCGGCTGATGACATCTTCATGGTGTCGGTCATGCCCTGCATCGCCAAGAAGGACGAGGTCCAGCGCGTCCAGCTCGAACACGCCGTTGGTACGATCTGATCTTCCATCCACCCACACAGACACACACACACAACAGGTGCGCCTATCTGTCTGTCTGTCTGTCTGTGTGTCTGTGTGTAGACGCTGTGATAACGACCAAGGAGTTGATGGACCAGGGCAGCTTCGACCTCGAGGCCGCCAAGAACAACACACAGAAGCTCCACTTCGACCAGCCGTTCGCCGAACATTCGGGAGGAGCCGTCATCTTCGGCGCGTCGGGGGGTACGCACACGCAGCACTGCACAGGATGTGCTCATCTCGCGTGTGCACATACTTGCTTCTGTGTCTCTGTGTCTCTCTCTCTGTGTGTGTGTAGGTGTGCTTGAGGCGGCCGCTCGGACGGCGTACAAGATGGTGACGGGCAACGAACCGCCACACGCTTCCCTCCAGCCCGCCAGACAACAGGTAGGTGCATTGACAGCCATCATGGGATGGATGGATGGATGGAGGCCTGTACAGCACATACATAGGCACATGTGTCGTGTGGTGTTTCTGTCTGTGTCCGTGTCGTGTGTGGTAGGGTGACGTCAAGGAGCTGGTGCTGCCGGTCAAGGAGGGTGTGGAGATCAAGGTGGCCATCGTCAACGGCATGGACCACCTCTCGGAGGTCCTCCCGCACATGGACAAGTACCACATGATCGAGGTAAGGCACGCGACCTTCCCTTCCCCCGCCCCCACACACATAACATCTATCCATCGATATACATCCAGTGGATGCATGCATTAACGCATTGGTGCCTGCAGGTGATGAACTGTGAGGGTGGCTGTGTGGGCGGTGCCGGCAACCCGCGGGCGCTCGACCTCAAGGAGATACAGAAGCGGCAGCAGGAGCTATACAAGCGAGACGAGAAGGCCACATACTTCGCTTCACACGAGACCCCAGCCGTCGAAAGACTGTACAAGGGTGAGTGAACCGAGCCGACCGACGCAAATGAACACCTGCAGCCATCCATCCATCAATCCCTATGCATCCATATGCATGTGTGTGTGTGTGTGTGTGGTGCAGGGGAGTTAAAGGACGAGCACCTGCGTCACCATCTGTTCCACACGCACTACAACCACCGCTTCGAGAAGGACCAGTGGCACCTCCCGGCCACCAAGCTCATCCACGTCAAGCCTGCCACCACACCCGTGTCGCCACCGGCCATGGAGCATTGCAAAACACTCATTCCCATCGGTAACTAACACACCCACAAAGATGGATTCGATGCTTGGGAACCAGACACCCACACCTGTCTGTGTTTGTGTGACACTGCCTGTGTCAACCAGGCTTCGACGAGATTCACGTCAAGGACCGCGTTCGCGTGACCCCAGAAGGATACAAGCCCGCCCAGTACGTCTTCAAGTTCACCGTCCCATCCGGCGCCGCCGGCGGCCCCAGCACCTACCGCACAGGCGACCACTTCGGCCTGGTGCCCTGCAACCCACCAGAGCTGGTCGATCGGCTGCTCATGTGGCTGGGCAAGGACCCCATGAGAGCCCACGAGGAGCTGGTGGAGGTGACGAGCGAGGACCCGCTGCGGGCCTTCCCCGGCATGCCCATGACGCTGCACCGGCTGCTGTCGCAGTTTGTGGATCTCAACGGGCCGGTGCCGTACTACTTGCGGCGGCTGGTAAGCCCGGACACGGGATTCGTACCGCCTGAGGCCGTGGCGCACAAGAATGCCGCCGAGGCCATCATGTCGCTGCCCAAGGGCAAGTACTCTTTCTCAGAGGTGAGGGAGGATGAGCCACAGAGGGACACATACATGGATGCCTTCGGACGGTCTGGTCTCCCTCTCCTCTCGGTGTGTGTGTGTCAATCACCAATCATGTGTGCTGCCTGCAGATAGTGTCTGCGTGTGACATTATCCACCCGCGGTTCTACAGCATAGCGTCGTCCGACACGCGCTGCCCCGATGAGATCGAGCTGCTGGTGGTGGACGTCCCGGGCGGCCTTTGCACGGGACACATCTGCAGACAGCCGCTCGAGTACATCCAAACCACACCCATTGCAGGAAAGGTAGGGCAAGGCGACCGACACGACACACATGGAGGAAGGAGATTCTCACGGTCAATAGATCGATCACATGTGTGTTGTGCTTTGCGTTGTCTATACATGGTGTTGTGTGTTGTCTGTCATCAGCTCCGCAAGGGTGTGTTCAACTATCCGATGGACGGCAACACCCCCATGGTGTGCGTGACGGTCGGCTCAGGCTTCGCGCCGGTCAGAGCGTTCCTGCAAGAACGGAAGGACAGGTCAGCCACCCACCCACCCACCTACCCACTGGCGCATCCAATCGTCCCCACATGGTCGTCTATCTATCTGCCTGCGCATGTTCAGGGGTCTGTCTGGCGACTTTGTGTTGGTGCACGGGTGTCGGCACGCGTCCAAGGACTTCGTGTGTCAGGAGGACATCCAGGACGGCGGCGTGTCGGCCTCCTTCTACGCCTTCTCGCGGGACGACCCCAAGAAGAAGGTCTACATACACGACAAGTAAGCAGGCGCATCGGCCACACACAGAAGAAGAGTCTCGTTGGGCCATCTATCTATGCATCTGTGTGTGTCTGTGCTTTGTGTGCTTTGTGTGGTTGCAGGATAGCTGAGAACGGCGCCGCTGTGTGGGAGCTGCTGCAGCGGCCCGACTGCCAGTTCTTCTACTGCGGATCGAGCGGCAAGATCCTCAACCAAATGGAGGTGGGCATAGAATGCACACACACATATATACACCTACATGGGCACATATATGAAGCAATCTCTTCGTGTGCGTGTGGTTGGTTCCTTGTTGAAGACTGCTCTGATCAAGTGTAGTGAGGGCATCTGTGACGGCGGCAGCATCATCCGGCAGATGAAGGGCGAACACCGATACCACCTGGAGGCCTACTGACCTGCTATCATACTCACACGTGTGTGTGCCGTGCCGTGCGTATACCCATATATATGTGTATTGGTGCGTGTTGATGTATGTGTATGTATGTGTGTATATGCCGGTCGCCCCTCCGTGGAAGCGACTATTTTTCCGTGAGAGAGTGGATGGGTGAGCGGGTCTCCGGGCGGACAGGGCCCTCACGCGCAGCGAGCGGGATTGGGTGTGCATGTGCGGAGAGACACAGAGAGACACAGACAAACGGTCAGACATTGCATGCAGTAGGGAAGGGAGCATGGGTCGAGTGTGAATATTGATTGGGTGAGCGAATGGATGGATGGCACTGTGGCATGGATGGATGGATGGATGGGTGGATTGCCTCCTGGCATGGCGTGGACGCGTGTACATAAAAGAAAAAAGGAACACCGCGCGCTGCATCGATTTCTCGCTCGCTGCGCGTGTGTATCGACCTGACTGCCCGTCACTGTGTGTTTATGACAGATTTTTCGGCTGGCTGTTTCTGGTCTGTCTGGTGTGGTGTGGATGCCACGTGGTATTGTGAGGGTGCGTGTGGGCTAACGCTCCGTCGGTGTGGTGCCTGGCTGCATGTGTGTACAGGTGTTCGTCCCATTCCATGCATCCTGGCTGCATACGCGACATGGACAGAGAAAGGACCGGTTTTGGGTGTGATAGTGCTCAACCGCCTGGATCGACATACCGCCTTTTGATTGATGCATGTGCGTCGGACGGACTCACTCACTGTCTCCTGACGTGAAGGCGCTTTATATGTGGGAGCTACGGGAGCCTGGATGGGTGACTTGACTTGTCCATATCTCACTCACCAGCACGGTCGAGTACAGCACAGCCGCTGTGTTCTTTTTCCACAGACGTACGTTTTTCCACCCATGGTTGGATTGGATTGGCCGCCTACATTGGTTGTTCCTGCCATCGGCATGGATGGGTTTGCTCGTCGCGTTTTTTCGGGAGTATTTTTGGTCTCTAGGAAGGCCCGGCCGGCAAAACACGGCGAGAGTACTGGATGGAGAGGAAGGGGCAGGGCCGGACTAATTAATTAATCAGTGTGTTTGCATGGAGTTGGAGTGAATTCGACTTGCTTCTTGCCCGAAGCTGCTGGCTACAGATCGGTCGTCATAACAGTGCATTGCTGTGAAAACGCTTTGCACGGTTGCTTGGACGGACTTTTGTTCAGCTGATGGTACACTAGTCGAGTCCATCCCATCACTCATACTGCAACCAAACCGCGTCAGTATTCCCAACATACGGCCTGACTGCAGCATACCTGACTTGCACATCTTTTCGCGGCTTGACGTTCTGCACCTCGGCCTCGACACAGACCAGAAACATGCCCCGCTCCTCCTGGCTTGTCTTCAAAGCTTGGGCATACTCTTCTGCTTCCGACACCTCCGTTATAGCTTCTTGCAGCAGTTGTGTGAAGTTAAGCGGTGGCACTCCTGACACTGACTGCCCCACGGATTTGCGCAGCCAGTCCTCCCTCAACATCAGCTCAGCGAATCTCTTGGCCAGCCGCCGCAGCGTCTCGCTCTTGGGGGGCTTGGTCTCGGGCTCATCGGGGGGCTGCAGCTGTGCTCTGTCCAGTTGTATGCCAAAGAAGTGCAGCTCGCGCATCACCCTCCGGACGTCCACCGAGCCATCGACGAAGATGGGCGTCCCGTGGCGGTAGAAGTCGAGGACATAGGGGAAGAGCGAAGGGTCGGCGTCGATGAAGACCGGCTGGCCCTGCTGGATCAGCTGATACTCAGCAGTCGACTCGTTGGTCACGAACTGCCCCAGCAGCGTCTGTGGGTGTCTGCCGAGTGTCGATTTCGCCGTCTTGAACTCAGTCCCGCCCACATCGAGGCGCACCGGAGTCGTCATCTCGCTGACGCCGCGGCAGAAAGGAAGATCTGCAATGGCAAGCACATGGCAACGGTGGTTCGAGGTCGTTCAAGTGACCGACATCTTTTGTTATTGCGTACCTATAAGAAAGGCAGACAGACGCCTTTCAGCTCGCAGTCGGTCGGGGGAGCGAATAAACGCCAGAAGCCAGCAGCAGGAGCAGCAGTAGCCCCCATCGAAGAAGGGTAAGATCTTCCTGCACCCTCGTTTTTGTGCCTCTTTCTTTTCTCCACGGTGTTGCCGTCTCGGCCCCACATCTCCGTCTCACGTGCTCGTCACCATGAGCAGCTTTCTTCCCGACGATGCTGACCACCCGGAAGAGGCCCAACGACCCCAGGACCACTCCACTGTCAATGGCGCTGCAGCAGCGCCCGCACAGCACGGCACTGGGCACGGCAGTTATCGCAAGAGCCACAGCGCGTCATTGGATGTGAGGAAGGTGCTGGCGAGTGCGGGTGCGAGATCCCTGAGCACGGCTGACCTGTCGTACCCCATGACGCCCGAGACGCTAAGGGAGGTGTGCCGCGAGAGGGGACTCTACGAGACGCCCTGGCTCAATGAGAAACTGTACCTGCATTTCAAGGGCTTCCAAAAGGTGAGCGACGGAGGCAGGGAGGATCTGTCAGGGCATGATTGAGTGGTTTATGAATGATTGTGTATGTCTGTGTAGATCATGAATCTGGATGAGTATTACGAGGTCCGTGCGCTGTATCTGGAGGGCAATGGCATCCGCAAGATTGAGAACATGGAGCCACTCGTCAACCTCAAATGCCTGTGAGACAGACATCCGCAGACACACATTAAGGCAGACACGCAGACAGGCATGGAGCGACCATCGCTGTGTGTCTGTCGTGTGTGTGTTTGCGTGGTTGTATGCAGCTATCTGCAGCAGAACAACATCCATAGGATTGAGGGGCTAGACCACTGCACCGAGCTGGTGGCGCTGGACCTCTCGCACAACCAAATTCGCAACATCGAGAACCTCGCTGTGAGACCACAGGAGCCCGGCTCTGTGCGTTGCATCGGCACACGAATGCATCTTTGGTGTTTCGTTCAGTGCCTGACGTCCCTCGAGAATTTCAAGGTTGCGCACAACTCCCTCACATCAATCAAGGCCCTCGAGGGACTGCTCGAATGCCCATCTATCGTCAACGTAAGCAGCCCACCGACCAACGCACACCCACGCACGCCAAAGACGCAATATGTGTGTGTGTGCCAGGTTGACGTGTCTCACAACTACATCGATGTGGTGAGTGAGGGCGGGCAGGCGCTGTCCTTCATCAGCACCACCACGACAACAGACCCATCGATGGAGGAGGCCTGTCTGGGTCTGTTTGGTGCCATGCCCAAGCTGCTGTGTCTCTACTTCCACGGCAACCCAGCCGTACGCAAAATGACACACTATCGCAAGAAACTTGTCGCAGGTGGGCAACCCACCCACTCCTAGGACTGTTTGATGACTTGACTGACATGGCAATGTATGGATGTGCTCAGGTCTGCACAAGTTGCGCTACCTCGATGACCGCCCTGTCAAGGAGCTGGAACGGTACACACAGAAAGGAGACATGTACTCATTCATACCCAGAGAGGGAGTACATTCTCTGCCCATGTATCTCTCTCCTCCATCAGTCGTGCGTGTGAGGCCTGGCTGCGTGGCGGCATCGAGGCCGAGCGGGAGGCCCGCAGACTGTATGCAAAGGAACAGGTACAGTGGACAGAGATGAAGAAGAAGCCCGTGCTAATCGTCATTATCTCATCCGCCTATGTGTGCGTGTATGTGTTGCAGGACGAGGCGAGTTGCAGCATGGTGGCCGACTTCCGTGAGATGCAGGAGAGACACAGAGAGAAAATGAAAAAGGCACTCGACAGAATCGACCGGTATGCGACCAGTACACAGCCACACAGAGTCAATGACACCCGTCCGTGTGTCTCAGCGTGTCTGTCCATTCTCCCCCACAGCGAGGCTGAGGCGCAGGCGGCCTCTCGAGATGAGTACGAGCGGACAGGTCTGCTGCAGTCCGGGTGGAAAGTGTTCGAACCAGACCACCACAGCAGAGAGAGGTCCGATGCCACACCACATCGATCTCTACACCTACACAGATTTGTGTGTGACATCCGTTCAGGTCAGTTCTGTCTGAGAGTTGGGATGAGTCGACAGACACCGACATGGGTGCGCCGTCAGCGACACCACCCGTCCTCACCCGCCCCACCACCACAGCCACCGATGAGGCCCTCTCCACCGCACCACCACCACCAGCCCCATCGCCATTGCCACCGACAGAGGAGACCGAGACAGCGCCAGCAGCTGCAGACGAGCCGACTGCCGAGGAGGCTGAGAAGGAAGAGACGAATGGGACACATCATCCATCAGTTGAGGTGCCCACACGGATCGTGATCGAGGAAGAGGACTTGAACGAGGGCAATGCTGGCGACGAGACCAACCGCGACGCGGCGGCAGAGGAAGTCTCGTGTCCATCGCCCGCCCCCTCCCCGGCCCCTCCGCTCATGGATCCTCACCGTGCAGCGTTGGTAGCCAGCATGAAGAGCTACCTGTCTCAGAAGAAGACTAGCACCGACACGCACCAGCAGCAGCAGCAGCAGGAAGAGGAGGCCGGCCAGGACACACACAAAGCCGATGAGAGAGGAGAGAGGGAGAGCGATGAAAAGGGCGAGTGGTGTTTGACGGCTGCAGAGGTGGAGAGGAGACGCCGCGTGCCTCTGCCTGAAGTAGACTCACGGCCGCTCGAAGAACTGGACTGACTGACTGACTGATCAAATCAGTCGCATTGACAGAGTACAAGTGCCCATCGGCTCTAGGAAGGGTGTCCGTCCCTTTGCTGTGCGTCATCCGTCCCTGCTGCGACGTCTGGAGATGCACACGAAGTCGCATACTCGCACCGGGGGTAGAGCGAGACGCGACTTCATGTGGATCCCGAGGACGCAGCAGCAAAGGATGTCATACACACACGGTTACACAGACTGTCTTTGCCGCTACATAAATGCACGGCCTTTTAGCGTCTGACTGATTGGCTGAGCCAGACTGGCGTGGGTGGGATGGATGCTATGTGTACAAAACGAGCAGGAAGAGCAACACCAGGATGAGCACCAGCAGCAAGATCAGACACAACTGACGCGTGTCTGAAACACACGTTCATACGGAAAGGCATACATGAGTACGTATGCATGAGCAGACCACTGTGTGCATCCGTCCGGGTGTGTCGGGTGGGTGAACGGTGCCTACCGTTTGTCTTGAGGAGTTTGGCCATGCGCTTCATGACAAAGTTCATCTTCTCGGCCGTGTTGTCCACATCCTCATCCAACTCACTCAACATCCTGCAATACAAACAATTCACACACATGCCTTACTCCTGCAGCCTTCCTCTCATCTCATCGTGTGCTGGCCGACCGTTGCTGGTCCTCTAGTTCGTGGTTGATGGTCAGTGCGGTGTGGTTGAGCCGCTCGGCCGACTTGGCCAGCTCCTCCAACTGCTCATCCTGCTGACGCATGTACGTCTGCACACACACGAACAACCCGCATCGACACACAGCCCTCATGAGTGTCCCTGCCTACCCACCTGTTGCTCCTGCCTCTGGCTGCCGATAAAGGCGGCATTGCTCCTCTCCACCTCGGCCCTCCGCGGCGCCTCCGCCTCAGCGGCCGCCCGCTGCATGGCGTTGAGCTTGTCGCGCATCTTGCGGACGGTCACCTTGGTCGACGACACGAAGTCCTTCCTCGTCTGCACCTCCCGTGTGTCCAGGTTGAACTTCTGCGGGTCCCGCTCTACCGCCACGATGGACGCCTCCAGGTCCTGGATGTCATAGTCAAGCGTCCGCAGCTCACTCAGTATTGTCCCCTTGACGTCAGACTTGTCCGCGCGCCGCCGAGTGCCGAAGCTCTGCGGATCATGAAAATGGTGAGGCGGCAGCACGTGGTCATTGATTCCTTCCATCGTTCATGGCGTGGTGTGCCTACCGCATCGTTGACTTCAGAAAAAAGGGAGTTGACCTTCTTGAGTGATGTGTTCACCGTACTGCACAGACACACACAGATCACCAAGCCATGGGAGGTCGGCCATCTGCCACTCTGGTGCTGTGTTTGCGTGTGCCTCACTCGACGGCAATGTAGTACGGGTCCTCAAACTTCTTCGACATGACTCAACACACACAAGATACCACTACTCCACAGCAGTTCTCCTTCCTCTCCAGCCGAGCAGTTTGACGGAATGTCCTTCTCGAGTGCGAGCTCCCGAGGACTGTCTCGTGCTGAAAGCGGAAAGACAGCTCCTGAGGAGTCAGATCAGTGCATGCTTTTGCCTTTGCCTGTCTTCCTCTCAGCCATCGCATTTGCCGACTACAGCCCTTCCACGTGCCCATCTATCATGGCGCCTCGGAACCTTGCACTGAAGGTGAGGAGAGCGGGCGTGGCGGCGGTGAACGGGTATTACAAGGCCATGGCCCACTGCATCCCCGACGGCTTCCGCAGTGTGTGCGAGGCCAACAAGTGGGAGACCGAGCGGACCTGGAGCCGACTCACTGACCCGGACTATCTCTGGTTTCAGCACATCGACAACGGCTCCTATGTCTACTGGTCAGTCAGACACATCAAGGGGATGGACACCTGTCTGTCTGCTTGGCTGTCATGTGTCGGTGTTTGCGTGCTGTGTGTGTTGGTTGGCAGGAACAAGGGCGACGGTCAGTGGTGGATGGATGGGCCTGACGGGTATGGCGTGTACGTGGCGAAGACGGGGAACCCTCTGCCGCCCGTGAGTGGCTGGGTGGCTCTCGACGAGGCCAAGGGCGCCGCGCTGCCGTACGTGGAGGTGATCGAGGGTCAGTCTCTCGAGAAAGAGCAAGAGAAGCGCCGGCAAGAACAGATAGAGCAGCAGGAGCAGCAACAGAAGATAGACCAGTGACAACCTCACCGCCATCGTGTCAGGGCGGTCAATGACGACGTGGTGTACAGAGAGGGCAGGGTTGGGGCGTTCGAACGGATGTGTTCGTATATATGTGTACAGTCCGTCCAGCGCAGCTGGATGCATCCGTGTTGTGATATGAGATTGCTCGTTGGCTGCCTCGTTGGCTACTTGACAGACATGCAGACATGTATGCAGCGTTGAGAAGAAAAATGGTCATGTGTCGACATCCATCCATGCAACGTCTGGTCCGTTGAACACTCGTCTGGAAAACTGTCTGTCTGCCCCACGACAGCACATGTAGAAGGGCAGCAAGCGATGCACACAGCACGCAGGAAGCACTCAAGGTCATCAGTGAGTGAAGGCATGAAAAAACTCTCGCTGGATGAATGAATGGGTGCGATCGATGCACAGCATGAACACACAATAGACTCTCCTGAGGGCAATCAATCGATGAAGACATTGAAACGAGCAGCCATGGGGCAAAACGAATCCATCCATCCATCGATGGGATGGATGCTGTGGGACAAAAGTCGACTCTCACGAAGGTGAGTGAGTGAGCACGACATCAGCAGTATGTATGATACAAACAATCAGCCATTCACGACAAGCACATGCACACATGTATTCCCCCCAATTTGCCGGCATCGCCTGCATCGTCAGTCCACTCGACGGGTGCTCACGGCACTTTGTAGTAGCTGGAGGGCACGAATGGCATCTTGACCACCTCGGCCTCCCGGCTCTTGCCGCGAACCTCCAGCAATACCTTCGTGCCAACCTGATCGATTGACGCACACACGTACATCAATCCATCACCACGCCCGTATACACACAAGTTGTGAGTTCGTGCACTGCAGCCATCCCCATCCACCTTGGAAAAGGGCGTCTGCACATATCCCATGGAAATGGGTTTGGACAGCGATGGCGAGAAGGTGCCGCTCGTCACATTGCCGATCTTCTCGCCATCAGGAGACAGGATGTCAGCCCCCTCTAGCAACACAATGAACACACCACCAAGGGCAGACACATCACATCGGTGCGTGGTTGGGGATCGTGTCGTGTCTTCAGGTGTCACCTCTTGCTGGCGGTCCGGTTGTGGTGAGTCCGACCCGCTTCCTGCTGACGCCATTCTTGATCTGGCTGATAATCGTGTCGGCACCCAGGAAGCCTCCCTCGGCCCGACGCCGCTTCCCTAAAGACATACATATTGATAGACAAACACCCCGTATGTATCCACATTTATTGTCATGGATCAGTCTGTCTGTTGGATTAGCTATGAACACAGGTCGATGTGTGTCCTCTCTTACCGACGGTCCAGACGAGTGCGGCCTCCACGGGTGTGGTGTCCTCGTCGGCGTCGTGGCCATACAGACACAGACCCGCCTCCAGACGCAACGAATCCCTACACACACAGACAGACAGACAGCCCACGTACATTTAGCACTCACTAGAGGATGTGTGTGTGTGTGTGTGTGTCCACCACCATTGTTCGTGTACCGTACCTTGCGCCAAGTGCGGCTGGCTGGACGGCCTCATTGCTCAAGAGTGTACTGGCCAGCTTGACGGCATGCTCGCTCGGCACGGAGATCTGCACACACAAGAGAACATGCATCGCATCGACCGGATGGACACAGGCACGGTAGCACGGTCACTCTGTCCCTGGCTGACCTCGAATCCGTCTTCTCCCGTGTATCCGCATCTGGTGACGGTGCAGTCAGGGATGCCGTCGACGGTGAGAACTTGTGACGTCATGAAGGGCATCTTGGTCAGGTCGGTGCCTGGAGGCACGTATCGCTGCAGAGTCGACATCGACTCGGGGCCCTGGAGCGCCAGCAGCGACTTGTCTTCAAGCAAGGTCATATCCACATCCATCCCTGACAAGCAAGACGATACACCCACACCTCTCTGTCTGACCGCATTGTGGTGCCTGCCTGTTCCATCCTACCTTTGGCCTTGGCCTTCGCGAGGTGTTCCCTCATGTGCGCCACATCCTTTTCGGTGCAGGCAGCGTTGACCACCAGGTGCAGATAGTCCTCCTGAGCCGTGACGATCGAGTCGTCCTTGATGCCGCCCCTCTCATTGGTGAAGAGCGTCAGGCGCCCCTCAGTCGGCTGAAGGCTAGCAATGTCGCCCACCACGAGGCCTTCCAGGTAGGCCACCCTGTCCTTGCCGAACAGCCGCACCTGGCCCATGTGGGACACATCGAAGAGGGAGGCGTTGGAGCGGGTGTGCAGGTGCGACTTGATGATGCCGTCTGTGTACTGCACGGGCAGCATCCAGCCGGCGAAGTCCACCATCTTGCCGCCAAGCTCCACGTGCAAGTCGTATAACGCAGTCTTCCTGACGGCCTGCAGCAAGCAAACAGAGCCAGACCACACACGTGCAGTGCTGCACACGGCAGTGTGTGTGTTCTTGCTTACGGCCGTTGCTGCTGCAGCGAAGAATCTCCGCTGCATCCTTGCAGATTCAGTGATCGGAAGCTTCCTCAGCATCATCATCCACAGATCCGCCCTCCGTGTCCTTGCAAGCTTAGCGGTCATTGCGAGCCTATAGGGGATCGTCGTCGGCAGGAATTCATTGCACTGTCGCAAAGATGGCCCCTCTCAGTCTTTTGCTTCTTGTCCAATCATGTTCGGCCTTCATCCTTCCCTCGCTGATCCGACATCGCCACGCGATGCTTCTCGGAGGTCGACACAACGGGCTGACGTCTCGCGCAGATCCGCAGCAGACGAGAGCCATCTTCAGACGACAGGGGAGCGTCAGCGACACTGTGATGAATGAGATCAAAACCCAGCTGGAAGAGCAGAAGCAATTGCTGCTTTCCATCAACTCGTCCGTCCTTTCGCTTGTGGAGGACGACAAGGCAAGCCAGCTCTGTCGCATGTACTTGCATGTGTATTTGTGTGTTCTGTGTATGTGTCGCATGTGTACAGCTGGACGACATTGTGGGCCAATTGGACCGTCACGCTCTGCAAGTCGACGAGCGAGGCACCCAACTGGACGAGCAAACATCACAACTGGAAGAACATACCGATGAGCTCGAGACCATCAAGAACGCCATTTGTGGCCTCAACCGGAGCGTGTCTGACATCAAGGGCACCGTCTGCGAGAGCACCGTCGCATCACTGATTGACGCGGGAGGTAGCGTTGCCACGGACCATGAAGAGGTGAGCCCGACGCACACTGCAGCGTGACTGCACACATTCATTCACGAGTGTATTTGGTTATGATCCGTGCACAGCTGCGTCGCGAGCTGGAGGAGAACATTCGAGAGGAGCTACGTAAGGAATTCAGAGAAAAAATGGTAAGCGAGGGGGAGAGACATTCACTTCGGCACCGTTGTCTTCCGTACGTAGGCCACCTTTGGCAGTTCCTTGAGACGAAAGCAGCTCGATCAGCTTGAGGAGTGGCTTGGGCCGGACAAGACTCTACGCCCCGTTTTCAGAGGCACAAAAGAAGAATGGGACGAAGACGCATTCTTCGACATCATGGAAAACAGCACCGGGCCGGTGGTGCTGCTCGTCCGGAGAAACGAGTACATATTCGGCTGCTACATAGAGGCGGGCATTCGAGCGCCCGAAGACGGCAACGACGTCCACAAATACGACACTGACGTGTGGTTTTTCTCGCTGGCGGGGCATTTCGACGACCCTGCCGCACGAAAGATTCCTATCCCCAAGTGGCGTCAGCAAGTGGTGGTCGCCAGGAGAGGCGACGAGAGTCTCGGCTCCGCATTGAAAGTGGGCCACGACTACCTGTGCATTGGAACACGAGAGACCTGGAATGAGCCGGACTGGATCAGGAGCTGTCAGCAAGCTTTTCCGGAGAAGGAGTTCTTGTGTGATGATGATGAATACCAGGGCGAGACAGACTATGATGATGACGTGCTGCTCGGAGGCGCTACCGTCTTCGAGGCTGATGAGATTGAAGTACTGCAGGTTGTGCCCGAGTCAGTGAGTGAGTAAGTGTGGCCGTCTCGTCTGACTGACTGTCGAAGGTTGCTGTGCTGTGCTGTGCTGGCGTCTGTTGACTTATCAAGGCGACTGCGAAGCAGTCCACAGCTGTATGTTCGTGTGCCTGATCGTTATTTTGCAGAGGCAGTGAGTGCCTCTCTGACGTGCCTTGCCTCAGACGGATCCACGCAACTAGACCGAGATACACAGTTGAGTAAATTGCAGGTCAATCCGTCCGGCCATCTCTCCATTGCATGAATATGCACACACTCGCACATCCAAGAGCTGCACGAGTTGACAAACTCAGCGGATGAGACTGACTGGTGTGTGTGAGCATTGTTGAGAATGTGTTGTGTTGTGTGGTGTGGTGTGGTGTGGTGTCTTGACAAATAAATGCCTCTCTGCCATGCTAAATGACCAGAAGGAAAATGCAGACATCTATCTATCTCCCTGGTAGCCACTCTCCTCCCTGATGGCAGACAGGCCACTACACTGACTGCTGTACTGTCTGTCTGTCTGTCTGAGTGCACTGCTCATTCTAAGACATCCCAGGGCTGAATCAACGACACGACGACATACCACATAAAGGACGAATCAAGGGTACACTGACTGCTACGAGCGATACATACAACACGCGACTTGTAGTGACACATCTGTGTACACAAACTGACGGTAAAAGCACACAAACGGCATAACATGAGAAAAGACAAAAGGACGACGACAAGTCACAACACACATGCTACCGGACGCAGGCAGGTCATAAGGGACAGACGCATCGTTCGACAGCCGCTCAGCAGCCGCCGCCATCACACCCACCGCCTCCTCCATCACACCCACCTCCAAAACCACCACAATCTCCACCACCATAGCCACCTCCACCCCACCCACCACCATCACCGCCCATCCCCCCGAATGCGGGTGCGTTGAACCATCCCCCTCCGTAGGTCGGGTAAGCGCCGCTGTCATGAGAGCCGGGACCCCTGTGCTTCGGTCGCGACTCGACAGGCTCCGAGGCGAGAGCTGAGGAACAACAGCCCATCGTGTTGAGCGAGATCTGGGAGAAAGGAAGCAGAATGCGCTGTGGTCAGACTCAACTCTGACGACAGAACGGAGCACGTTAGTCAAGCAAAGGTTCGCGCCTAAGGCTTTTGCTTACCGATGGAGGGAGTATGAAAGACAAGAGAGGCCTGGGGAGAGATGAGAGAGGGCAGCTCTCGGTGTGCGAGCTGAAAAAGACACAGAGTGCAGGGTTCGGGTTTCAGGGTTGGGTTTATCCGAAATAGAAGTACTACTCGAAGTAAGCCGGCATGAGAAAACACAGAGAGGCGTTTGTTTTGGGGTTCTTTCTCGAGGTGTTGCTAGTAGTCCTCAGCGACGTGAAAGGTCAAGAAACAGGTGAGGACTCTCAGCTTGCCAACCTTCGAGCAAGTGCGAGGGACGATGACCCTTCCGCATCCACGGCTGCCTTCAGCAATGTTTTCGACGACGAGCCACCTGCAGAAGAAGAGGAGAAAGAACGAGATGCGTATCTGTCGTTGCTTGAGGCCGAGCTGAGTGGTCGCGCAAAGACGGAGGCCCTGACTGACGACGACGGCAAGCCAATCGAGTTTCTTGAAGTCACACCGAAGGCTTTCAGCGAGTCATCCTGGGACCAGTTCGGCCTCAGTGACACGGCCGCAACAGCGGCTGCTGACAACGGCCAAATGATGGTCACTGCAAAGAAGAAGGGCCATGAGAGGCTCGGCGACTTTCAGTATGTGCATCCGAGGCCTTTCGCTTTCTTCGTGTCACCCGCAACGACCATCGCGGTTCGGCTGAAGGACGGCATCAAGGTCGAGCCATCGTCCATTCGTGACCGTCTATGGGTGAGGGGAGAGCGCAGCGGCGACATCAGCGGCAACCTGCACGTGGCAGCTGACGGCTCAACCATCACGTTCAGGCCACAGCGGATGTTCCATCCAGATGAGAAGGTGACCGTCAAAATGGCCCCTGGCGTGGTGGACAAAGACGGCAAGGCATACAGAGGGCTGGCGTGGTCGTTTGTGGTGACCGACAGGCCGCAGAAGGCCTACTTGCCCACAGGGGGGCAACAGCAGGTGGAGATGGAAGCGGGAGTTGAGTGGGCCAGCAACAAAGGCAACAGCCAGTGGCAGCAATCCAGGCAGGCGATGCTCGAGCGGTGGGACTACGGCCCCTTTGAGGCGGAAGAATGGGATTTCTTCATTGATACGCCTGACGACGAGAACCCCTTCGACTCGGAACAGCTGGAAGACAGTGATCCTGACCGCGACGCCAAAGTGGACGACGACGGCGCGAGGGAGCCGTCAGAGTGGCCATTGCCGCAGGCGGATGCAGACGGCCATGATTTCAAGAGGTTTCCCACACGCTACTTCGCCACCCTTCCGCGCGATTACCCCCACTTCGAGGTCACACAGGCGTCTGGCGACCCAGACAAAATCGAGAAGGGGAGGATATGGTGGCTCTCCCTCGTGGATCAGTTCACGATGCGTCCAGACTACCAACGGCCCTTCCTGACGATCGTCGACAGCAACGGCCAGCCGGTCTTTTGGCGAAGGTACGCCTCCAACAAGCGCCAGCGTGTGTTTCGGACCAGCGGGCGCGGCAACATGCTGCTGTTCGACCAGCTCGAGAGGAAAGACAGGTGAGCGGGAGAGGGGGAAGGCAGGGGCCAAGGCGGGATGCTGCAATGAGGTTTGTTTGTCAGTCGTGTGATGGGCGGTGAGCGACCCAGCCGTGAGTGGATAGAGATGAACCACCATTACCACCCCATCGAGAGGCACCAGGCCGCCCACGGGTAGCACAAACAGACCAATGCCACACACACACGATATACACACCCGTGGCGGGTGTGCATCTCATCTCTCTGGCCATATCATGTCTGTCTTACAGGCACATGGCTGACCAGCACGATGTGGCCATCAGGGAGGACGGCACCCGCCTGTTCATCATCTACGACAGGCAGACATTTCACCTGCACCACTTCACCAAGGACAAGGCAGCCAACATGCCAAAGGTGCTCATGGTCGACACAGCCGTGACGCAAATGGTCGACAAGAACGGCGACGTGCTGCTCGAGTGGCGTGCCATCGATCAGTGGCCGATACCGGTGCTCATCAGGGGCAAGTACAAGCTGGACCAGCTGCTGGGCAAGGCCGACTACTCCGTCATCGACACCACCCATCCCAACTCGGTGTCATTCACACGGGACGGGGGCATCCTGCTCTCACTCAGACCACTTACGGTGGGCAGAATAATATGCCCGCCGCCTGGCCTGGCTCACACACATACCTATGCCATACCTATGCCATGCCATGTGTGCAGGTGCTGAAGATCGACATGAGAGGCGAGGTGGCGTGGATGCTAGGCGGGGCCAACCGCAGCCCTGCATTCAGCACCATGGAGGTCGAGAAGGGCAAGGGCGTGTCGCCCTTCAAGTTCCAGCACCACACACGCATCGATGACAGCAACGTCCTCACCATGTTCGACAACCACCACTCCACCACCCCGCTCATCCAGGACACTTGGTGGTCTCAGGCAGTCGTCTACCAGGTCGATGAAGACAACAACACCGCCAGGGAGATTCGGTCACACAAAGGTGAGTGTGGACAGACAGACAGACGACGTGCAAGAGACGTCGACTGCTTCCTGTCCGTGTTCTGCGTCCTGTCAGGTCCGTATGGCTTTGCAATGGGGAGTATGCAGGCACTCCCCAACGGCAATGCGGCCATCAACTGGGGCGGCGCAGGCAAAGTCAACATCCCTTTCTATACAGAGGTGACGCGAGAGGGCAAGGTCGTGTTGGAGCTCCGGTTCATTCAGCAGAATGGAGCCTTCCAGACGCACAAGCTGCCCTGGTGGGGCAGGTCCAAAGACCCTCCGCTGATGGTGGCACGGCCGCATGGGGAGAAGGCGCCCACAATCCACTTCAGCTGGTAGGGAGAATGCAGCCAGACACACCAAGGAGACAGACTCGATTGCTGTGCTTTGCAGGAACGGGGTGACGAATGTCAAGAGGTGGGAGGTGTACGGCGGTCCGTCGAGCCCACCCAAGCACCACCTCGCCACATTGAACAAGACCAAGTTTGAGGAAAAGCTCAAGGTCGACGGAACCATGCAGCAACGGGCACACTGCCTACACGAGGCCACCTGCTATTTCAGAGCGGTTCCACTGCTTCACGATGGGTCGAAGGGCATACCCTCGCGGACCCTCTTAACACCACTAGGACATACAAACAGTAAGGCGTACGTCCAAAGATGCTGACACGTCCACACGGAGATGCTGGCAAGTCCACAAGTGTGTGTGTGTCTTTTGTCCGAATGGGCGCAGGGAGGATGCTGCAGGCCGATGGCGCGTCAGCTGAGAATGTAACCATGACATTCCTGGGCCAGCAGCCAGTCAGGATAGAGTGCTTCGAGCACGACGTCTTCATGGCTCGCCTCGACGTGCCCAACACCCCCCCACTGCAAGCCGACTCCGCTGCATCGTGCCAGGCCCTCTGCGCACAAGACAGCAGCTGTCGGTTCTTCTCATTCGATGAGGGCAATGGCAGGTGCCACTTGAAGGTGCATGACGGCGGGCGGATGTACAGGGAGGGGGTGGTCTCTGGGCCGCGTGAGTGTCCACACGACCGGACGCAGGAAGGTCTGCTGCACCGCTTGTGGGGGAGAGAGGATGTGTTTGGTGGGATGACTGCGACTGCGTTGCGGAACGGAGGCAGGTGGTGGGACCTTCATGACAGCGATACGATAGTCTTCGACGAGAGCGGGACATCGTAGTGTGTAGGTAGATATCGATTATTTCTGCTGCCGGTAGACGGAGACATAGGTGCACTCACTGCATTCATTCATATTTGTTGGGTTTGCAGCTCATGTGGATCGATACTGCTGCTCTGTATGGTCTGTCTTTGTTTGGCTGCGTCTGTCGGGGTATTTGTGTAGTCTGCGTGCAGTAGTTGGTATTTGTTGTTGCCGCTCATGTACATGTACGATCTGGTATGTATGCTTGCCTGTCAGCCGAGCAATTGTGACCACATTGGTTCGTGGTGCGGCCTGCGTGGGTGTGTGGTGGCCCGCTTCAGTCATGCAGTGCATTCACTCAACAGGCAACGATTCGCAACGTGTCCCATGAACCCATTGGATTGATTTCCATCCCCAATCCCCACAGTATCATGTATGATGAGATGAGGAGGCTAAAGGACGGCAGTCTGAGTGAGAGAGATCCAGCAGCCACAGCAACATGGTTGACAATGATTAAGGCCGGGCGATTGAAGCTGCATGCAGCGATCGCGGGGGCTGGCCCCCAGCAATTGAGAAGGAAACGTCTCGAACTTCTCCTTTTCTCATCAGTAGACAGCTAAGCACTTGTGTTCATCGTCAGAAGTTGTCATCGTCGACACCCTTCGACACCCCGAGCCATGGGCAACTTCTCCGCGTGCCAAAGACGTCATCAAGAGGATGAGCTGGAGGCCGTCTTGAGCTCTCTCAGCAACACTCCTCGACACCCCCCGCAGCCGCAACCTTCCCTCTTTCATGACGAGAGCCTCGACTATCTTGACAACTTTAACCCGGCGCTTACACGGCTTCGCCCCGCCGGTCACTGCGGCGTGATGACCTTGCGGGGCGGGGCGATCCAGGCGACAGACCAGCCCCAGCGGCAAGAGATAGGCCCCGTCCAGTCTGTCTGCCCTTCATCGACCTCACGCTTCAGTGCGGCAATGATGGGAACAGCGGGTACGTAAGCTCCTGGCAGTGCATGCTCTCCACTCGCCCATCCCATCCGTGCGTCTAACATACCACTGCTCGTTTTCCTCTTTCGTGCAGGAGAAATCTTTCAGGCCCCTCCTCCCGTCCCCAGTAATAATGTACGGCAGAGCGACACATCCAAGGTGAGTGAGACACCTGCAAGGGATCCGGCCATTGTGTCCACATGCGTCTCCTTTCGTCAGGTGTCGCAGGAGACCATGGACCACTACTTTGAGTGCTGGGCTCCTACCCAGCTGCGACATGCACAGATGATGCAGGCAAAGGTGCAAGCCAAGGTGACCATCGACCAAGGGGGCTGTCTCGTCTCACAAACCGGACTGATTCTTCATTTGCGTCATCAGGCACCTTTCTTCCCTCCACCGGCAGGAGACGTCAAGGGCTCAGCTGGTCAGACAGTCGCCAGACGGGCCCCACCCCCGCCCCCATGCAGACCGCTAGGTCCCCTGGGAGCCCCTGTCCTGAATCCATCCACTCTCCAGAAGTCTCAAGCGCCCTGGAGATACATGATGAAGGCCGTAGCAGTACACCACATGGGGCCTCTTCAACCAACCATCAGGCAGGAGAGACACAAGACAAAAACGATACTTTTCTTTCCCCAAGAAATCGCTCCCTCCGTCTTTGCTGTTTCAGGGATCCCGTGCCTGCTCAGGGTGAGGAGACACAGAGACGGGCTTGGGTACCCCCACCGCTTCAGCGACGCTGAGGGGATGGCTGTTCCGGGCCGACAAGTGTCACTACAAAGACGGTCGATACTGTGTCGCTGACACCGTCGGGGAGAAGAGACGAGCGTGACGACTGACGAGTGACGACAGATCAGAGCAGCAGGTGGTGGTGCCGATTGTCGACAAGCCATCCGATGACCTTTCAGCCAGTGACGCAAATACGGAAAGAAGGCGAAGAAGTCAACAGCATTGAATTGGCTGTGCCGGATGATGAAGTATGTGTGATGTAAGTATGTGCCATGAGGGCGTCCTCACTGCTGAGGCGCTTAGTATTGCTATCACCGTCCGTATCCATGATTTGTGGCACATCAAGGGACTGTGCCGTGTCTCCATATGTGCTACTTACTGAATTCGGTGGATCCAATCGACTATGCCCTTTCGTGTTTCTGTCATTTCATGGACGTACGAGTCGCGAAGTCAAAAGCTCGCAGGAATTGCGCCGATCGCTTTTCCTACCGATTTTCCCAATCAGCTTCTCCATCCTGCTCTGTCTGTCGCTGCCTCAGTGCATTCTCTGAGCAATGGTGATGTCATATCAGCTCCCCGACACCTTCTCTGGTTCGTGTTTCGGGTGCTCGTCGCGCGGATGCACGATCTGTGATGGGACGGGGAGGTCTCAGCATCGGAGAGTTCTGCACGGGACAGACAAGGCCTCGGCAGACAGGATTCGGGCAGGTATGTTCATTTAAATGATGCAAGTCACGGGAAGAGATTGTGTGTGTGTGTGTGTGTGTGTATGCAGTTGGCTTCAACCCATCGGCTGGTGGCGGCGAGGGGGGACACATGCTGGGAATCGGTATCTATGTGACCAACGACATGACCAAGGCCGCCAAGTTCGCCAGGATGCGAAGCCGGAAGACCGGCAGCCCAGCCGTTGTCCTCACGCTCATTGTGGACCTCGGCAAGCTCAAGTTCCATGACGCCACGAACTGTGCTGGTCAGCATCGACCAGGCTGCACGTGCAAGAACTGGCAGGCTGAGGGCTATCACAGTCAGTACATAGCCCCAGGGAAGGGCTGTGCAGGTGAGGAGGTGGTGATTCAGTCCAGCAGTCAGGTCATAAGCATCGAGGGCGAGCAGTACGTGTCACAGTGACGGATGGATGTCTTCATGGATGGATGGATGGACGAGGGAGTGCAGTGCGTGTGCTGTGAGTTTTGTACGTGGGTGGCTGGGTGGCTGGGGTGGGCCATCGAGTGACCGAACTCTATGTATGGTGTGTACGGGTGTCGAGAGGAGAGCATGTGATTGCATTGCATGCAGTATACCTGATGAAACCCAAGACAGCGAAGCGAGTCAGACAGGCAAACCACACACCGTCACATCCGCATGCAAAAATGATATACCACTTGCTCAAACCACCCAGCGGTCCACCACACACACACCACACACACACGCACACCAACAGTTCCACCCTCCCCTTTTCCCCCTAGCTAGGTGCTGTTCCGTCCGCTCACTCAGACGGTGTTGGTGGCGATGCGGACCATGTTGGACGGGTCGGTGGGGAAATGGCGCTGGCAGAAGCTCATCAGCCGCTTCACCATCTGGATGTACTTCCGAGTCGTCTCGTCATTCAAAATGTGCGCAACCTACACACACACACACAGGACAGGCAGACATGGTCCCTGGCTTCAGGACACGGTGTGTGCATGTGTGGCCACCCCACCTGTGATGTGAAGATCTTTGATCTCCCCGCGCGCTCGTGGATGCCCACCATAGTCACACCCATGGGCCAGGCGGCATTGCCGATGGCCAGCTGAATGTATCTGAGACACACACACAAACCCAGACACCATGGATGGACGAATATGGCTGTCTTCCCCCACTAGTCGACGTGCGTCGTGTGTGTGGGGTTACAGGTCGTGAGCCTGCACGTATTTGCGCTCCTCGCACAGGCATGCGATCTCATACAGCTTCTCCAACACATCGGGATCCAGCCTGCCACACACAAGTGCACTCAGAGGAAGCAGTGCCTTGCCGCCCTGTCTGTTTGTGGTATGGCTGGCGGTTTGCGTACCCCCTTTGTTTGAGCTTCTTGGTGAGCGGCTTGAGATTCTGTCGCGTGTCGCGGTGCTGCATCGTGGCAATCTTGCCGTCGGACGTCTTCTTCTCCTCCTCGGGCCTGCAGACCAGTAACGGCCAACTTCGCATCGTCTCACGTATGTGCCTCCGCTGCCTGTACCTCTGGACGAGCTCCTTGTCCCACTCGCGCAGGATCTTCTTGATCCACTGACGAAGCCTGACACACACACACACACACACACACACGACACCGATATGTGCTGCATGGATGGACGCAGCACATCCATTCACACATACACACGTACGTACTTTTCCTCCTTGTATCCTGGTGCGTTTTCGTCCTCCTTGTCCTTCTTGCCGGGATCGGCCGCCTCGCCCCGCTGCCGCTTGCTCTTCCTCCCACCCTCACCGTCCTTGTCCTCATCGCTGTCAGAGTCGCCGCCCTCCGCCTTGCGCTTGCGATCGCCATCAGCCGCATCACCTGCACACACGCACCCGGACATGAGAAGAGCGGGCATGAAGCTGACTGCATGAATGTGGTTGCACCTTTGGATTTGTCCGGTGAGGTGTCTTTGGCCTTGGAAGGTGACGTGTTGTGGTGGTCGTCGTGGTCGTCCTCGTCATCCTCATCGCGCGAGAAGCCACGCTTCCTGACCGACAGACAGCCAGAGGGGAGAGATAATTGATCGACCGTCCAGTGTCATTGGTAGTGTGTGCTGTACAGGTGGTTGCTCACTCTAGTGAGAGGTATGCGTGTCTCTGTCCGCCCATCAGGTCGTCGTCGTGACGCTCCAACTCCAGTCGATGCAGACGCTTCCAACTGACACGACACCCAGAGTGGGGGCAGCTCTCTTTGCGGCTGGCTGCCATAGGTACCGCTTCATGTCGGTCTCTCCAAAGAGCGTGACGGGCTCGCCAAACCTACGCAGTCGGTAAAACACCTCTGACTTATCCATACCGGGATCCCCCTCTGGCCACATGCCACGGACAGACAGACAGACGGCCATGGATGATGAACGAACGCCTCCCGCCCTTGTCGTTATTCGGCTTACCGTCGTCAGCGGCCCCTTCGTTGTGCTCGTGAACGTGACGCGACAGCACATCCTCCTCCTGACAAACACAAGATGCCGTCCATGCGTCAGCCATCGCGAGAATCGTGTGAGCCTGGTCACCTCATGCTCGTCGTCTTTCTTCTTGCGATCCAGATACTCAGAGAACCGCTGAATGAAGGACGACACACAAGGGCACACCGTACCGACAGAGTTAGCCATCTGGACAGGTGAGTTCCTGTTGCTGAGCTGGCTGGTCCATTCCCACCTTGAGTCGTTCCTCCGTGCGCTCCCGTTCCTTTCGCTCCTCCTCCTCCCTCTCGCGCTGCTTCTCCGCGTCGCGACGGCGCCTCACGTCGGCCTGCGAGATCCACTGCTTCCCCTGCGTCTTCAAGTCTGAGGAATGACGATGCACACTCACACACATGTGCACAGTGATGCGGCACGAGCTGCTCCCCGTGTGATTTCACGCACCTGCTGTTTCTTTCTTCTTCTGGGAGATGAGGGCCCTTATCGCATCCATTGTGCCAGCGAAGCTATCCCAAACACGATGCTGCTGCACCACTCTCTCCTTTTTCCAACCTCGGGAGAAAGTTTGAGCCGCCTAGGGTGCTCCCTGAAACCGCTGCTGCGTTTGAGCCCGCAGACAACAAACGACACCCTCCACGGCTTTGGTTGCTGGGAAGGCTGCATTACGCCTGCTGCTGAGTTGTGCTCTTCCCTGATCTTCCCTCCCTGCGTCGTTCACCATGGCGATGTCGAACAAGAAGCTACAGAAGATCATGACCCTGCCCATCGTAAGGACGCACACACACGCACGGGAGGGAGGGAGGGAGGGAGGGAGGGAGGGAGGGAGATTGATACACGGGCAGATCTGCGCACACAGATCTTTACACAGATGTGCAGACACGCCAGCCAGCCAGCCAGCCAGACCATGAGAGAGGCAGAGAGGAGGCGATGCAGGCGGGCAGGAGGTGATGCGACCAGTGCGCTGATCTGTGCTGCATCATTCATGCTTCTATTTGCTTCTCCTCTCTGTGGGTGTCGTGTGTGTGCAGAATCAGATATTTCGGTATCTGACGAATCGGGCGAGGGTGCAGATCTGGCTATACGAACAACCCGACATGAGAATTGAAGGAAGAATTATGGTCAGCATGGTAGCAGGCAGATGCAAACAATTGTTCGTTTGTTCATTCTTGCCATTTCACGAATCACTGCTCTCTGTGCCTTGTGTGTGTTGTGTGCGTGTGCGTGTCAGGGGTTTGACGAGTACATGAATCTGGTGTTGGACGACGCTGAGGAGGTGTACGTCAAGAAGAAGACGCGGGTCAGCGTCGGGAGGATACTGCTCAAGGGGGAGAACATCACCCTCATCATGAACACGTAAGCACTCACCACACACATGGGGGCACCAGGAGCAAGAGGACTCTCGTCTGGCTGACGCTGCTCTCGCTTTCTCTCAGCGGCAAATGAGCACACGACACAGCCAGCACGGCGCCCGCCTGGTCGCCCCCTCTCTCTCTACCCAAGACGGTTTTAATGCGTACCTCAAGACCGACTGACTGACAGCCCGCAGACCTGCCGATCTGCCTCATGGATGGCTCGGGGGTGGTAAACGTGAGTGTTTGCTGGGGTGGGGTGGGGTGTGTGAGTCACGTCAGTCAGCATCTCCCTCTCTTGGCCCTCCCTGATATCCTCGAGTTGTTATGTACAGTGGGTGTGTAAGTTGACAGACACTGCAAACCGTGTGTGTCCCTGCGTCCATACGTGTGTGCAAGTGAGCAGCCTCATTCATTGACTGACTCGTGTGCATTCAACATTGCACCATCACCTGCGCGCTCGCTCAAAACTCAGCGGTCGATCAGTCAACAAATGGAGATCTCTGGCGATCCAGCGAAGCACGTCTGGCGCCTCGGTGCCGCTGGAGCACTTCTCGCATCTGCCGTCTTTCTCGTGAGGCCCGATGGCCTCCGTCGCGTCACATCATGGATTGGACTCATCCGCTCGTGGCTGCGGCGGCTCACGGGACGAGGATGCTTGCCTGACGACATTCCGGGTGGGTTTCTGGGCCTCATTGGCAACACGCCGCTGATCAGAATCGAGAGGTGGGCACAGCCATCTGACATGTAGACTCATTCACACAAGTGTGTTGCCTGGCTGCAGCCTGTCGAGAGATCTTGGATGTACAGTGCTCGCCAAGTGTGAATTCCTGAATCCGGGAGGGAGCGTCAAGGACCGTGTGGCCAAGTCAATCATCGAGACGGCAGAAAGAGAGGAACGCCTCAGGCAAGGTGAGGACAGACAGGGCCATGAAGGAAGGGTGCGATGCATTCATTCATTGCCTGTGTGTATGCTCTGTCTGTCTGTCTGGCATACAGGCGGCTGTGTGTTTGAGGGCACCAGCGGCTCCACTGGCATCAGCCTGGCGCTGGTGTGCAACGCCAAGAAGTATCAGTGCTGCATATTCATGCCTGACGACCAGGCGCAGGAGAAGACCGACACGCTGCGGAGTCTGGGGGCCCGGGTGGCTCACTGCAAGAACGTATCGATGGCTGATCCATCACACTACTGCAGGGCGGCCGAGAACGCCGCGGATGATCCAGCCCTTGAAGGTGAGGTGAGACAGCGGGACCGTGGAACAAGACCACAGTCTGCCCGTGCGCTGTCCGTGTGTCTGTGTGCATCCATCAACGCAGGCAGGGGATTCTTTGCGAATCAGTTTGAGAACACGGCCAATTTCTTGGCTCACTTCAGCGGCACAGGGGAGGAGATCCTGCGGCAGACCAACGGCAAGGTGGACGCGTTCGTGTCTGCAGCAGGAACTGGCGGGACAATCGGAGGTGTCGGCGCAAGACTGAAAGGTACAGCAGTCTGTTGCCTGCTATGTGGGTGCTGAATGCGAAATGAGTGTTATGTGCACTGCAGCTCACAACCCTGATGTGAAGATCATCCTTGCGGACCCCCCAGGATCAGCACTCGCAGGAAAGGTGCGATATTTCGAAAGGACGCCCATCACACACACACACACACACACCCCGGTGTGTGTCTGGTTGTTGTCTCACCCACATGTATGATGCAGGCGAGTCTTGGTGTGTTGTGGACGAGGGAGGACAGAGAGGGGTACCGCAGACGGATCATCTTTGACACCATCGCAGAGGGCATTGGGCTCAATCGATTGACGAGGAACTTCGAGCTGGCGGTGCCCTTCATCGACGAGGCATTCAGGTGAGGGAGGGACGGACCGAGAGACGGAGGGAGGGAAGGAGGCGGGCCGACACTGGTCTCTGCGGGGTCATCAGCTGCTGTCCCTTGTCGACGCGTTTAGGGTCACTGACGAAGAGGCAGTCGCCATGAGCCAATACCTTCTGCGGCAAGACGGTCAGGGGCCTGTGTGTGTCTGTCGCATACCTGCACCCAGCTGTCTTGCATTGTGTTGTGTTGTCAGGCCTGTTTGTGGGCTCGTCCGCTTCATGCAACTGCGTCGGTGTGGTGAAAGCGGTCATGTCAGGGGCGATTCCGCGAGACAGCGGAGCAGTGCTTGTGACGATACTGTGCGACAGTGGGATGAGACATCTGTCGAAGTTCCACAATCGAGCGTACTTGAAGAGCATGGACTTGCTGCCGCCCTACCTTGACTGTGATGATGAGCACGGCACTGCAGCATGTGATGCGCCAAGGAGTGTATGGGATTTTGTCTCTCTGTGTTGATATGGATGGGTAATAAGTCGTTGGCTTCACTTACAAGGCATGCCGTCAGCTCACAGTCTTTGTGCCCTCCTGGCGACGAACGACAAGTGCGCCACGAAAATCACAGAATTGTCCGTCTCTTCACGCACACACGACACGCGCGCACAAGACGCAGACACAGCACGCACAAGACGCACACACACACACACATACATGGCACGGATATCCACAGATAAATTTTCCCACACACCTGACATGCAAGGGTGGGGTGGGGTGGGTGATGCGATGCGTCCACCGAACGGCTGCATCTCATGGATCTATCCTCAGAGAAAAATGATCGCATCCCGTCAGCTCAGGTCAGGTCAACAACAGTCGAGCCAGCTCACGCCCGTCATATCTTCATATTCACATGTGTTGCTTGCGTGTCCTCCCTCCTTTGCCCTTTACTCGCACCGCCAATAAATAAGTAAAAAGAACACCGTACGACACAGCACGATAAAGACAATGGGAAAAAGCACGGTCACAAGACAGACAGACACCACCGTGCAGAGTTGCTCGCATTGTGGGTGGTGAGTACGGCGAGCGGTTGGCAGTGTGGTCTAGCACAACGAGATAGAGGCAACACGCAGGGCGGAATGCAGAACGGATGGATGCCCTATGTATGAGCTGGCTGGTCATGTACCGGCATTCAGCACAAATAACAATATCGATCAGCAACCGTGGCATGGACGCTCAAGAGACACCCCCACAGGCCTGGTGTGGCCACCCGGGCGATGCACCATCACAATCACCGATGCAGCCCATGGCCGGCCGGCACGACATGCAGACACCACACACAGCACGTACACATCACACACGCCACACACTCTGTACACACCACACACACGCGTCACATACGTATCAGGCAGGCACACCACACACGAGAGCACAGAACAGCTGGTGGATGGTATGGCAAAAGGTGTCGGAAGCTTCGTCAGCTTCGTCCATACATGGCTGCGATTTCAGCACAGGGGACGGAAGGTGCGATTGCCTCAAAACAACACGACATCAACTCACTGCTCACAAACTGAAACCATCGTGCTCCCCCCGCGTTCGCAGTCCACATCCACCGAGCGTGCTCTCCTCTGAGCGGACCAATACTCAGATACCTTTCTGCCGAACCCACCTTCATTGAGCCAAACAGACACACAGACAGACAGACAGACAGATGGGACACACGAACAGAATTATCCATGCATACGAAACTAAAGTACGAAAAACATAGGCCACAGAGAAGGACAGAAACAGACCGCATGGCACGCCTGACGGCTAATATATGAATGGCTTAGCCGTGTGCACAGGGAGGTGGGTGGATGGCTACACGACAACACAGTGATCACCCAACCCAACCCAACCCAACCCGTGGAATGCCCTCCCTCCCTTGACGTCAGACTGGTTGATGTGATGTATGCATGTGACACTACAGAGAAATTTTCTTAAACACTACAGACAGACCTACACTCTACAGCACCTCAGCACCTCTCTCTACCTACATGACTACTGCAGGCTCGACTTGTCCTGTCGGTACGATTCGCTGCGCCGTTTGGGCATGCTTGGCAGCCTCGGCAGCGACGGCAGCGTGAGACCCCGCCTCTCTCCTCGACTCGGTGGCCGTCTCATGTTGGCCCCGCACGTGGGCAGCAGACGCGAGAAGCCCCGCCTCGCCTGCTGCACCTGCCGGCTGTCATGGTACGGCTGGAGGGCCTCGTCCAGCTCGTCCTCGTCGATGCCAAACTGGTCGAGGGGCTCCACCTGTCTGAAGAGCTGGTCTCGCTTGTCGCGGTGCTGGTTGATGAACTCCCACATGGAGTGGGAGGCGCGGCGAGACATCGACAGCCCACACTGGCGGTACACCTTCTTGAGCGTCCCGACGGGGTCGCGGAGAAGCGCGTCATGCGTCACGTCGACGAACCGGCCCTTCAGTGCGGGGTGGTCCCTGCGGAAGGCGGCGGCCGTGTTGACCATCTCGGCCATGAGTTCCGCCTGCTGATGGCTCGTCACCGTGACGTCAGCGTCGTCCATGAGCTTCTCGCGCACAGAGCTGACGATCTTGCAGACAGGTCCGAGGGCAACCTTGGGGTCTCTGAAATGGCAAAGCAAATCAACAGCAGAGGAAGACATGAGAGGGATGCCACAGATCTCCTATGTGTGTGGCTTCCCATCCTCACTCACCTGTGGAGGAAGATGACCCGTGCATCCGGGTAGGTCTCGAAGAGCGCGTCAAGAGCCAGCATGTGTGCGGGCATCTTGAGCACCCACCGATCGCCCGCCCGCTGCCACTGCAGGTGCTGCAGGAACCTCTTGTGCATTGCATAGCCCTTCTTGATCTCCGTGCCATCAGACGCCTTGAGCCACTCGCCATACGACGGCGCGCCATACCCCATGCAGAAGGTGTGTGCGCGGAGTGAGTGTTCGAATATGGCCGTGTCGTCGTCGGGCATGTCGCCGCTGCGAGGGAGGATGGACGTGTACTCGTTGCCCAGCATGGGAGAGGACTCGAGCAGCCGCTGGGCGGCCGCCATCCGAGGATCCTGCAGGACGAAACAAAACAAGACACGCACACGAATCATCGATCGATCGGCCCAGGCCCCATTGCTGGGTGGTATGATGTGCATGCGTACCTGTTCCCACGGAGCGTTATTGGGTAGTGGTTCCGGTCTGAAAGATCCGTCTTCGCCGTAGGGGAAGTTGACCTCGCAGAAGCGTGGCACGCGATTCGACGGGTCCTGTGCCATGAGCAGCTGGAGGAAGGTGGTGCTGAGCACATCAGGCCCCACGATGACGAGCGGCTGAGAGATGGGCTGGCGCAGGATGTCGGGGTGCTGCTGCTCCATGGCCTGGAGGAAGAGGGCGTTCTTGAGCAGCTGGTGCACACTCCGGGAGAGTGCAAACTGCCCGAAGAAGCTCAGCTTGACGTCCTCTCTGGCGCTGTCCGTGAGGGATCGGATGGGCTGGGTGAAGAATGCGTCGCCGCCAGGCAGCCCGTGCGGCAGTGTGTCGAGGCCCGCGTTCTTCTTGGCCAGTGCCACCATGTCATCGGCAACCATCCCGATCGACTTGGAGTTGGGCATGAAGAAACGAGCCTCGCACGAGTACTGAAGGAAGGCGGGCAAAAGCACCACGTCCAGCCAGGTCAGTCTGACTGTGTGTGAGCTGGTATGTCTGTCTCCCTCCCTCACCATGAAGGATGCCTGGAAGACGTCGCGGCCACTGGGCCACTTGAAGTTGGGCAGATCCTCGAAGATGTGTTTGTTGCTGATTGGCAGCGGCTCGGTCCGCTCCTCAGAGTCAAACCAATACCGACGCCAATGCTGAACGGGACAACAACCAAATGTATCCCCTACTTCCTTGCACCATTCGTTTTTTCACTGTTTACCTGCATGAGTGGTACGAATCGATGGATCGGCGAGGCCCGGCCTCTCTCCTTGACGGCATTGAGGAACTCTTGGTACTGCACACCGCGATAGCTCACGCCCATGTCAGCTGACCACCGCTCCAGCTCGTGCCTGCACACACAACAGGGCGAAGACAAAATGTCCCAGTGCTGTCGTGCCTTAGGGTGGACATGGTGCCTGACTGACCTTGTGACGACGGTAGCATCCACCAGGTGGTAGAACCAGTGCTTGCGATTCTCAAGGAAGGACGCCTCAACCAACATCTCAGATATGGTGTCTGCACAGAACGAACGAACAAGGCACAAACCAGATAGTGAGAGAATCTATCTGTGCTGGCTGTCCCAGCGCGGGAAGCATTTTGACGTGCGATTCGATTCTCACCTGCGGGTGTGAATGGCGCAGCTGTGGCTCCGATAGGGAACATGCCCTCTTGCATGGAGGACACCATGAGGGCCGTGAGGTAGTCCGTGCGGTTGGTGAAGCCCGTGCGCAGGCTGAGGTTGGTGTTGGGCAGGCGGTAGATGCAGAGAGGAAGGCCCATGTCGCGGGCCTTGCGGAGTGTCTGCTCGGTGGCCCACTTGCTCCAGGGGTACCCGATGGCGGTTGGAGGGAAGAACTTCTTCATCTCCTTCTCGTCCGGCGAGACACCCTCCATGATGGGGCTCATGCGGCTGAACTCTTGACCGAACGCCGCGTAGAACGCCTAAAGGTCCATTCGCATCACACACATGATGGATGATACAGATGCATCCACACATAGGATAGGCGACACTCGTGTGTGTGTATGGGTACCGGGAAGACGCCAAGGGTCGACGTGTGGTGGAGCTCCTTGAGTCTGTGTGTTGCGCAGAGGCGGATGACGCCCTTCATGGCCAGAGTGTTGGTGTGACGCAGCTTGGCGTAGTTGTTCATCAGATTCACATCGGCACCGGTGTGGTAAACCTGAAGACAGAACGCAACAGAGGATTATGACCCTACCATCGACATGGTTGCCATTTGTTCCTTACCATGTCGATCGAGCGGCACAGCTCTTGGAATTTCTCCTCTCCCAGTCCGAAGTCCTGAAGCGTGAAGTCGCCAGGCAGCACCTCGATCCTCTCGGTAAACTCCTCCCGCCATATCCTCGCCTCAGTGCAGGCCTGACGGATTCGCTGCAGGCCGTGCTCGACGCTAGAGGCGCGCACGAGGCAGTACACGAAGAGCTTGCCAGGCTTCTCCCTCTCGAGCAGTGTCACCAGTTGGCAGCGACCCACAAAGCCCGTCACGCCGGTCAGCAGGACACGGCGAACCTGGCTCTGGGGCACCGGTGGAAGAGCTGACTTGATGCGTCCTGCAATCTCGGCGTCGAGCCAACTGGACAGCATCTTCATGTCCTCGTACACGTCTGGGGTCTTCTGCTTCCTGCCAGGCTTGGCCTCCGTGGTGTCAGCGCTGATCAGCCTTTCCCACGCGGCCGCGATCAGCTGCGTATCGTCTGCATTCTTGACGTTGAGGGACCTTATGGCTCCGTGGACGTCGCTCTCCTTAGACATGGCGTCGACTGACGGGTATTTGTTCTCGAAGGCGTCGACGTACTGGAAGTAGCGCTTGTTCTTAGAGAAGGTGAAGCGCAGCCACTCCTCCACCGTCAGCGACATGATGTCGGCCGGGATGCCAGTGACGCTCGCGATGGCTTCTGCGGTGGTCTTCTGCCCGTCAGCTCCCTCCGCCGCCTCATCTGACGGCTCGTCTTTGCTCTTGGTTGCCGCTCTGCTCAGGATGAAGTCGGCGAGGTCGTTGATGCTGGGATTCTCGAACACCAGGGACTGTGGCAGCTTGACGCCTGTCATGTCTGCGATGGCGTTGCGGAACTCGACGGCGCCGAGCGAGTCGAACCCGAGCTCCATCAGAGGCGCATCGGGCTCCGGCCTCTCACCGGACCCTGCCACCTCCTCGGCGAGTGAGCACAGGATGTCTCCCAGATCGTCTCTGCTCATCCTGCTCAGATCGAGGCTGCCCTTGCCGTCAGCGGCTGCCGTGGATGCCATGGGGATGTCGGCAAAGAGGCTCGGCACCGTCTCGTGGCGCCTCAAGAAGACTGGCCAGTTGAGGGCCTGACAACCGATGACGCCCACTCCTGGCCGGCTGGCCGTCGCCAGCTGGTGGCTCATGACGTCGCCCATGACGCGTAGTCCCAGCTCGTTGGAGATGCCCTTGATGCCCACCTTGTCGAGATGCTGGCGGAGCTTGGCCGCCATGCCTTGTTCAACCCACGGGCCCCACTGAATGGACTGAGCGGCCAGTCCCCTCGACCGTCGATGGACCGTCAGTGCGTCAAGGCAGGCATTGGCTGCCGAGTAGTTGCTCTGGCCGAAGTTGCCCAGAAGGGACGCCACCGATGAAAACAGCATGAAGTGGTCGAGATGCAGAGGCAATGTCTGGGATAGCTCGTGAAGATACCAGGCTCCCATGACCTAAGGCAACAAATACGCAAGAGATTGATGTCAAGACCCCAGTGGATCCATGTGCTCGTCTCACCTTTGGCAGGTAGACTTTAGTGATGTTGTCCTTCGTCTGGTTGTTGAGCGTTGCGTCTTCCAGCACACCAGCGGCGTGGAAGATGCCCTTGACTGGCGCATCAGGGATGCTCTCCGCCACTTGCTGGAACAACCTCTCGCAGTCGTCCTTCCTGGACACATCCGCGGCAACGGAGTGGACCTTGAAGGATGTGTTGGACGCTGCCGTGAGGCGTTGCCAAAGGTCCGTGGCAGCCACAGCAGCTGACGGCTTGCCTCGTCTCGACAGCAAAACGATGTGCTTAGCTCCTTCATGTACCAGCCAGTCGGCCAGCAAGAGACCCAAGCCGCCAGAGCCGCCGGTGATGACGTAGCTGCCGCTGCCCTGTGAAGAAGCGACGGTTTCGACTTGGATGGCGGTCGGCACGCTCAGAACAACTTTGCCGATGTGCTGCGCCCGCTGCAGGAAGCGGAAGCCGGCAACACCGCCCACATGCTGGTCTTGACTGGTCATGTCGAAGACGTGCAGGGGAAGAGGTTGCAGCCTCCTGGCAGCGATTCCGGCGGAGATGTCCTGCAGGATGGTCTCGACCCTCAAGGGGTTCTCCTCAATGAACCGATCGACGGCGATGAGCTCGTACATGACGTCGGGCCTCTTTTCGGCGACCTTGTCCTTGGTCCAGGTCTCGCGCTTGCCGAGCTCCATGAAGCGGCCGTTGGGCGCCATGAGGTCAAGAGAGAAGGGAATGTAGTCGTCGATCAACGAGTTGAGGACCACATCGATCTTGCCACTACTGGCGCCCCCCAGGAACGACAGCATGTCCTCCTTGAACTGCTTGGCGTCACGCGATGTGGTCACGTACTGGACGCCACACGTCTGGCGCAGGTAGTCCCGTTTCGCCTCACTGCCGGCCGTCGCAAACACGGTCGCTCCCACTTGCTGGCAGTACTGCAGAGCGGCCAAGCCCACCCCTCCCGTCGCCACGTGCACGAGCACCTTGTCGCCCTTTGTGACCTTGGCGAGCTCCCTGAAGGCCACTTGGACCGTGACGAAGACGACTGGCAGCGCCGCGGCTTGCTCGAACGACATGGTCACCGGCTTGATGGCCATCAAGTGGGCATCCGTGGCCACATACGTCCGCAGACACCCGGGTGCAACACCGTACACATCATCGCCCACACTCAGATGCGTCACACCCGCTCCAACACTCACGACCGTCCCCGAGCAATCGCCGCCAGGCGGACCCGGGTCACCAGGATACAGACCCATCACGTTCAACACGTCACGGAAATTCAAACCAACCGCACGCACACGCACCTCCACGCAGCCAGCAGGGGGGGCGATGCGCGAGGCTTCGGCCAGTGGGCGAAGCTTCAGGTTGCTCAGGGCTCCGCGGCGAGGCAAGAACAGCTCCATGGCGCCTCTCACAGGCAATGCCGACTTCCTGAGGCGGGAGTAGAGGACGCTCGGCTTGTCAGCCTCACCACGCGTCATGATCTCGCTCTCATAAGCATTCGGCGGCTTTCGCTTCTCCGTCTGCACGGTTGCGATGAGCGAGGCCACACTCGAGGGGTCCACCTGATGAGACCCAGCGGTGTGCAGGTCGATACAGCCAAGCTGGATTCGTCTGCCGATGTTGGCTTCCAGCTCCAATCGAGCGCTCTTGGCAAAGCCCCACAGACCCGCATGCGCCACCAAGTCGAGGTCTGCCGCACTCTGCTCCTCTGATGGCTGCGCGACGCCAGACGTCACGAGCCACATCGGAGGAGCATTCTGCCGCACCTTCCGACCCAGCGCCAGCATCGCTTGCGTCAGGCAAAGTGCTTCGTTCAGGACGTCGACTTCGCTCGCCTCTTGTCGCCTCAGCAGCCCTCCCAGGTACAGAATGGCATCCCACAGATACTGACGTCCCGTCGCTTCATCTTCCTGGGCCGCCAAGAGAGCCTCCAGCTCGGAATCGCTGGGCAGCTCACCGAAGGCCAGCAGCCTTGATTCGGGGGCCAGGCCAAGGCCGACTCTGGCCTCTGCTCCACTGCTGGCCAAGTCACTCTTGAGCTCGGAGGACATGCCGAAGACGAGGCACCGCATGGGCGGAGTTGACTCTGCCTCTTGCGTGTCAGTTGGTTGGCTCTCGCGTGCCTCTATCTCCTCCTGGTTGTCGTCCTCCTCTTCCTCCTCCTCCTCCTCGTTTGTCGAGGTGGTTGTTTGGTCGGTGAGGGCTGGTTGCCACTCCAGGTGCCACAGAAGCTCCTTGGGGATCTCTGCGACGGGCGTCGCGTCCATCTGGCGCAAGTTGAGGTGCTTGATGGCCGCCAGCACCTGACCCGTGCTGTCATGCAGGGTTAAGTCGATTGTCGCTCCCATCTCGTCCCGCTTGACCAGCCTGACGTGACTCCACAGCTTCTCAGACGCGTCGCAGCGCCCAAGAGAGACCTTGTCTGCTCCCATCCTGGAGGTCGCTCACGGTCTGGAATCGGGGGCCGTAGCGGAGTCCCACCTGAGACAGCTGGCCGTAGAACAGCTCCAGATCAGCAGCACGGGTGCATCGCTCCTTGGCACTCTTGAGCTCCTCTTCGGCTGCACACACCGCCATTGCTGACGCATCGGGGCGCGCCTGGTCGATGCTGACGACGCGGCCCGTCCCGACCGTCGCGAAGGACTGCTCTGACTGGCTCTTGGAAAGGATCTCGACCGTCATGGGCGGGCGGCTGCAGTCGCTCTCCGCGCTCTTGTCGACCTGAATGCGGACGCACGGAAGGGCACTGCCGGACTCTTCGGGCTTCGAGGGAACACTCAGCGGCCGCTCGAAGAGCACATCCTCCATGTGCACCATAGCCGCAGTGTGCGACTTGGACCCGGGCGCATGGGCCCTCTCGGTTGCAGCCGCTCCTGCCGCCGCCAGGATGTCGAGGAAACCAGCACCGGGCATCAGGGCGTTCCCAAGCACCACGTGGTCTTGCAGAAGCCCGCCGACCTCCTTGCGGAGAGTGCTCTCGTACCGCACGTAATCGGCCTCATCGCTCCGCTTGCCAAGCACAGGATGATGCACGTCAGCCCAAGGGAAATGACGATGATTCCACTCGTGTGCGCCTGCCTCCTCAATCACTGGCTGGCTGATGGGGTGGCACTGGATGCAGCACCGGGCATCAGGGCGTTCCCAAGCACCACGTGGTCTTGCAGAAGCCCGCCGACCTCCTTGCGGAGTGTGCTCTCGTACCGCACGTAGTCCTCCTCATCGGCCCGCTTGCCCAGCACAGGATGACGCACGTCAGCCCACGGGAAATGACGATGGTTCCACTCGTGTGCGCCTTCGTGGACAGCAGTCGCATGGTGGACGGCGAGAGAGATTCCATCTGCCTTGTCGTTGCTTGGGTCGATGGTTGGTAGCC